ATAATTATTAATAAATAAACCTTCGTTTGTAAAACCCACTTTACTTAAGCTAGGATTAAATTTGATTGATAAATTCAGAATTTTTTTAATCTCCGATTAATCTTAAACCGAGATTAGATAAACGACATTTTAACCGCCGAATGATAAAATTGTCCTTAACACTATATTTAAAATTTTTTCTTTTTAATAATAATAACAATAATGTATTTATAATAGTAATAAATTTACGCTAATGAGGCAATTTACAATTTGTTTACAACAAGTTTTACAATAATTTATTTAAATATGTACAACAATATGAAATAAACTTGACAAATGATTTACCAATTACAACTAAAATTGTAGAGAAAAATAAAATAAGTATAAAAAACTTGTAGAGTTAATAGAAGACTATAAATAAAAAATGTAAATAATAAATAAGCTAAGTTAAAAGTGCTTATTGAGAGCACTCAAAAAGCCAACATTTTGAATTGAATTACACGAGTTATAATTCGGTTTACTGGACCGAGATAAATTTGTCGTTGTGTAGAAACGTAAAATTGCGTATAAAATCGTAAACTAATATTTAGTACAATAAATGAATCCAATCATCATTTTTCAGAACAGTCTTATATTTATATAATTTATGATATAGTTATTTATTTATATGATATATTTAAAAATATATCATTTAAATTCTGTCAACATAGTATTTTACAGACGATTCAACAATTGGCTTTATTTTCTTAAAACTTTAAAAAGTAAAAAATATAGGAATCGTTTCTGGATCGATTTTACAGAATTGATAAGGAGACTATGTTATAATTCAAAATAAAAGCATATTCAAGGACTGACCTAACCAAATTTTAGTAGGTTTAATGTGATTTATGCATTTTGTACTGTTAACATTTTAACACAGGGCCGGATTTATGGAGGAGTGGGGCTCCCGTTAGGTTGTTAGGGGGAGGGGGGGGCTCACCATTAAAATTGGTATGAGCGTTAAAAAAAACAATACCAAGTAACATTTTGTAAGTTTTACAAAAGACAACATAATATAAAATTAAAATGCATCTCCATGGACACGCATATTCTTTATAATAATTTGTTATTTACAAAATAAATGATTGTAGAAATGATAACATTTTACTGATACTTATTATTTTCAATAATGAAAATTATAATAATAAATTTAAAAATATTAACAATTTAATAATATTTTAATTGTACGTCCGTGATTCAGTTTTGTTTACAACAATTTTTGTTTTAGAAATTAGATTATATGTAGATATAATAACCTATAAAAATTCTCTATAATCTATATATTTTAGATTCTGTAAGATTTCTCATTTTAATTTTGATAGAATTATTATTATAAATAGTAAATACATAATCATATACAACGTGATTGCCACCGCCACGTACATTGTAACACGCAAACGACTAATAAAATCATTTTATTTTCAGAAATTAATAATATTATTAAAATTATCTGTTTTGACAAAAAAAAATAATAAACCAAATATTTATATTCTCAACCAGTATTAAAATTATAGGCTAAACTGTACTTAAATTTTACCCAAACTACTATAAACGGCCGTTAATGATATTTCCTAAGTACTAAAAATGTAATAATTATTTATGAATGATTTTAAAAATCTCAAATATATATATTATGCTTAAAATTTGTTTGCTCTAACCTCGACAAAATATTTAAAAAATAATTACACTATCTAATCACTAAATGGGATAAAGCTACATTTTAATGTTGTTAATTATGTTAATTGTCTTTTTTCGATCTTGAAAGATCCCATGATGTTGTGAGCCCTGAGTGAGCGGGCTATGGTCCTTTCTGGTATCCCTTAATCCATTATGTTGCGATATAGTGCCTAGTTAATATTTACTTATTTGTACAAACACTGAAGCCAAAAGTCAATACAAATACAAAATACAAATTGAATTATATCAGAGACGATTCTACAAAAAATGTTTAGAGGGGTGTTGAACAAATGTTTGATACACAACATTGATGTAGAAGATGAAAAGTAACAAGAAATAATTTCATGGTTTGTATCACTTTTGATAAACAAAAGCAGATATCCAAAAGTCAAGAAATTTAACAGCATAATATAAATGTTTTTAATTTACCACTTAATAATGTCATTAAAAAAAGGTATAATCTATACTCTTTACCGTTGATTTAAAATTTAAACACTGGTTTAGGAACCAAACTATTCAATATTATCACTTTTTTATAATACCAATTTGAGTGTTTTCACATATTAATCGTAATTAAAAACCAACTTTTATATTGTAAGTTATTGTCCATTTTATGTGACTCTCGTCTCTCAGTGTCATACAAAACCTCAAAATTGTTTATAATACCAGTCACAACGAATTAACAACAATATATATTCAAAAATCTATCTGAAACCTTTGGGACTTAATTTGAATCAATCACCTACATTCTAAATTATATATTACAATCAGATTTTTATTTATTATTCATAAAAAAAATTGTTTATAAAATTCTTCTATCTTTTTTGTTTAACTTTTCTATTTCAAATGTATAGCCTACTGTATTCAATTATGTATGTCAACTAATTAAACATAACCCTTACAATGCCCTTGCCAAAGGTTTTTAACCAATAATTAAAAGAAAGATGTACTGTAAATTAAAATGTGCAATTAATAATAAAGAATACACTATAAAACGTAATTAATGAATTTAATATATTAAATTCATTATGTACAACAACCCGATTCTGTCTTTAAATTTATCAGTAGTTAGTCAAAAACTTTTGTATAGAGTTGGATTTAGTTGCGGAATGGACAGTGTTCGGCCCATTACAGAAATTAACTCATTCGGCCCACAATACAGTTCTAGCGACAACTATATTTAAATAGTTATTTGTAATTTCCCTGTTTGTACACCAAACGATTTCCAAATCTAAGACATACAAATACTGACAATAATATATAATATATTTTCATTATACAATCATAGAATTCACGGAATAGTCGGTGCCCGGTGGTCAAGTATTCTTATCATGTATAGTCGAAGTAAAATACTTTCGTGGTATCACAATATCGAGTTAACTGTTGTATGATTCATTTAATTACTTTACGATGTCGGAGTATGTTAAATTCGGACTAACCGTCTAATCGTAGCAATTGTATATTCGAAGTAGATTATATTCGTGGCAAATGACTGATAAAGCAATGTCGGAGTAACTACAAGTTGTGGCATGCAACATTCGTGGTAACTGTAGCAACCCATATATATCTATGCTCCCAAGTTACCACAGTGGTTACTGTTATACCAAAATGTTATCATAACCGTTATCACAAAATATAAATGTTTGAACTTTCAATTATTTAATAATTTCAATTATTTAATAATTGAAAGTACAGTATTACTAAAATTATATGTTAGTCTACTGTCTAGCATTTCAGCCTAACTTCTGGGACAGATATACAGATTTCAGTATTAGGAGTCTGGACTGGATTAGATCACCATTAGACACTCACATGATAATTTTAAGTATGCTATATTTTTAATGCGACCACGAATTCTTAAGTGTGGCTTATACGCTTTATACATACATAAAAACGTCGTTTACCCATCGTGCACTGTTACGAACGAAAGCCCAATAAGCCATAAAGACACAGTTGTAATTGTTATAATTCAATTAAGTCTTCAGAAATGCACAATTTTAGTGCCTACCTAATAATTTATTTAAAACATAAAATACAAAAAGACGCAGAAATTAGCAAGTGGAATATTGGATAATAAAGAGAAAGCTATACAAAGTATAATTGACTAGGAATAACAGAAAATGTTTAGACTTGCAAAGTTTAAAGAATAAAACTACTATAACTATTTATTTCTATAAGTACTTTTTTATAAGATAAATTATATTTTTATAGCTTAACCAATAGATTGTTATTATTATAACATGAAAGTTTATAATATAAGAACATACTGATACATTTGAATTAAAAATTAATAAATTTATATCGTGCTATTGACATAAGATATATAGTTTTGTTAACAAATATTTTTAATGGAATTGGAAGAGGCGAGAATGGGGCAGCTGACGTTTTGTTTGATTAACCCATTCATCTAACAAAACACCTTGTCGTTTGAAATTAAAAAAGAAATGGAAATTGGAGTATAATTCCTTTGACTTTGATGCGATGAATTTTGTAATATTGACCACTAGCTTACCAACTTTGTATACTCTTCAAAAAATCTTACTCAAAATAAATAATGAATGAACGCTAAAGTAGTGGTGCCAAGTAATTAAAATAAAAGCTAGAAAATAATGGTAGAATTTGTTTTGAAATACCACACTTGATCACACCCCTTCCACCACACTAATTAGTGTACATTGTTTTCAAAACAAACAAAGCTATAGTGTTTGACAAGAAATCATTGAAAATGACTGATTGATATGACATATCAGTGTTTACTGTTTTTCAATATTAGTTTCCCAATGACTAATTTATTATGTCGAAACTTCTACATTTTTTAAGGCGAGAATAATTAATGAATAGCGTCCCAACATATTTGTACACTTCTGTATTTTAGCTTTGTGTAATATTATTAGTAATTCAATAATATAATATTCAATTGTATTGGCTTAATTAAAAAAATTATTAATCTATGAGGTGCGTACCTAACGGGACTGTCCCACATTGCCCCTTATAAATTGTATCTATTAAAATATTCTTAAGCGTAGCCTATAAATAGTAATTAAATTAACATAATACAAGGAGTTAAACATTAGGTATCGATTTGGAATTTTAGAATGAATAAAAAATTGACATCGGTAATAATAATTGTAGTAGTAATAGGTAATATTTTATTCATTTGATAATAATGCATAGTTTAATAATCAGTAATACAAATATTGTACATAGGTCGTTGTGATTGATGACATTAAGATAGGTATATAAATTTAATACTTTGAAACTTGATTATTTATTAAAATTGATAGATAATAGAGAATAACATCGTATTGTAATGTCATAACTTACATATGAATTATTATTAATATTGAAATATTTAAATAAGATATTTTGCTAATTTTTACACGCTACGTCTAAATATAATATGTATAATATAATGTGTAATAATTACTACATTGTTTTAAAACTACTGTTTTACTACTAAGTACCTATAAATCCAACAAAATTGGCTAAACTACATATAAATATTTTTTAAGTTGACTAAAGTGCTTGATGCTTCTACGTTTTTACAATCGTTTGTAATTTACCAAACGGTACACTTTTTTGCAGGATTCATAGGTGTTCCCAGCTTGCAGTTAAACACTTCGGAAAACTCATCAAAGTTGCTCAGCGGACCGTTCACTCTAAACTCAAACGGCGAATGCATATCCTTTTCGATTTGTAACTTTAAGCCATCGTCTGTACTCGACGAGCACCACACCTAGTCAAGTCCAAATAACAATATATATTGTTTCATTTAATTAAATTGAAAAAATAATAACACCAATGTTGTTATACCTGGGCGAAGCTGAGGAAAAACATTTGACGGTTATCGAGATTAACGCCTGGCAAACGGAACACTTGTGCTCTTCCATCGTCGAGATATTTTGAGTATGCACGATAAGCCGCTTTCAATCCACCGTTATCAGCAATATTTTCTCCTACAGTGACATTTTGACACATGAAAGCAATTTTTATTCAAATTTAGCGTTATGATATTATGTCAAACGAAGAATACCCACCTAATGTTTGACTGCCGTTTACATGCATGCCTTTAATTTTGTAACTAGAATATTGATTGATCATGCATTCCGTAGCGGCATTAAATTTTTCCACTGTAGCATTGTTCCACCACTGATGCTTATTTCCAAATCGATCATATTGACGACCTAAAACCGTACATAAAAGTACATTTGTAGCCGATAAATTAACTGCACTCGTAAAATCAACCCAAAAAGTGTCTGTACTTGAATGTTCAGTAAACACGAATCAAGTACCTGTATTATCAAAAGCGTGTGTCAGTTCGTGGCCCATAACGACTCCCAATGCTCCGTAGTTCATAACGGGCAGTTGCATTTGGCTGAAAAATGGTGGCTGTAAGATTCCGGCAGGAAAGACTATTTGATTTTTGGTCGGTGTGTAGTAGGCATTTGCCGTTGTAGGAACCATGCTCCACCTGAAACGAATGACCTAGTAAACAATACAACCACAATCAACGCTTTCGCTGCACTTTACGTACCAGGTCCTGTTGACGGGTTGTCCCAGTATATTCAAATTTTGTCGGAAATTAAATTGTATGGCACGTATCATGTTCATAAAGTATTCGTCTGGGTTCACTATTAAATCCTTGTACTTATCTTCCATTTGTTGGGCGTCCATTATGTAATCTGGGTAACCTATCATGTCGGAAATTGCATCCGCCTTTTTTTCTGCTTCGATCAGCGTTTCTTCGTCCATCCATTGTAAATTGTAAAAATTTTCTTTAAATGACGCTTTTATTTCCTCAATCATTTCTTTGGCCTGTAATCAAAAGTAATTTACAAAAACAAATTAAGTAAAGATAGCGGCGATATATATATATATGGTAGAACATCTGAATAAAATAATGTTTATATTACCAATGTTTTTGAATGTCCGTTAAAAACTTTACGGATGTACAACGATGAAGTTGCAAAACCTAAAATACTATTTGTGTCAGTAATGCAATAACGCCAAGCATCGTCCATTCCTTCTTCTCCTAGAATCACTTTACGTAGATCGTTATAAGCGTTACGAAAATCTTTCGATAAATATGGTGACAATGCCCAAACAGTTTGCCAAGCCAGATAGTTGTTGATAATCCTTAAATTACATGTAAATTATGATTTATGATATATTTCATTTATTAATTTAGTCAGAGATGGACAGTATTTGAAATATAATTATTTAAAATAATTTTAGTATTATGCATTTTCTGCCTGGTTACTGAAAAAAAAGTTATGAACACCCAATATTTTCCCTAGTCATAAATATATCAACTAACTGTTAAATTATTTATATTTTTTGAAGTTATTGTATTTTTCACGATTTTTAAGAGTTGCACATAATTTTGTTTTATACCCACATTTATTTAGAATTGATTGTTTTTATTTACCGACTATTATTTAGTACCCCGAAAACTTATCGTAATCTTTTATTTGAAATAAAATACTATTATTGAAATAATAAAAAAAAAAAATTTTTTTTACTCCACTATACAATAATGTTGATTTAATACGATTAAAAATTGTATATTGACATAATTTATTATTAAAAAAAGATTTGTTATTTATTAATAAATATGAGTAAAAGTATTTAGTATTTTATACCATCAAAATACTTGTACTAGACAAAAAAATACTGTATTTTGCCAATCTCTGAATATAGTCAATGTACTCTTACGTTTTTTTTTCTGGACTTCTGAAGTATTCGTCGATTAGTTTAGACATACCAGCTATGTATGACGGTGAAGAAACGACTACTTTTTCTTGATTTGTTATTTTCTTGTTTACCAAACGAAATGCTGAGTTAAAATAATGATTCCAATGGAGCTAATTACGATAAGAAATAAGTTTTTAGTACCAAACAATATAATATATAGGTAATATAACAATATATTAAATCTACACTTACGAATGGTGCCAAGTCTTGGAGTTCTTTTAAGGACAATAAGTGATAAGTCTTATCCAAATCGTTTTTGTTTTCTTCGGGCTCTTTAATCTCAGCCAAACGAGTTTCAAATTCTAAGACATTTTTCATTTGTTTCCTCGTAATGGTTGGCTCACCGCCTAACAAGGTTCCGATCTAGAATGATATACAAAAAACATGTTTAATAGGTTTTTCACAGTCGAGTTTTACATATAGGTCACATTTCTTTCTAAAATGTTCTGATTTCTTAAGAGATTCTCACTGTTGCCGTAGCTTACCTTTGTCATGTAATCTAAGAACACATCCAACATTTTCTGATTTTCCTTGTCGAGGTAAAAATTTCTATTCGGCAAAGATAATGAACCCTCCACTACCTGTAATTGAAAACACACTTAAGTAACAAAGTACAAACTTGGTAACCCACTGATGTTTACCTCAATCACGTATCTACTAGAATTTTTGTAGTCTTCCATTACACTCCAATCGAATAAGCCATCCATGTTGTAACGATTATGGGCCGTTTCCAGGGTTAGTTGTAAACTCCAAGTTGACACATCCCACGCTCCCGAAATGTTCCATCCGCCAATATCGTCAAGTATGTCTTTCAACGGTTTAGGACCCAAGGCTTCTAAAGTATCGTTAGGGTCCATGCAAGTAGCGAAGTATGTTTTAGCTTTAAGTTCAGCTTTATTGGCATGGTCAATTGGTAATGCTTCTGTATAACATATACAATTATAACTAGTTTTAACACATTCAAATTACAACTAATTGGTGAAAACATTGCCATATTAAATACAAAATATGTATGAATTTCGGTTCGATTATTTAATTCTTCAAGTAAAGATAATGTATGTACGTCATACATTATCTTTATCCTGGACGTGTAAACAAGTTTAAAGTCTTACCGAGAGAGTTTTTAATAATCAACATGTTGTTCTTTTCCAGTGCATGAAATATGTTCCAAATAGATCTACCTTCTGGTATAGGATTTGATTTTATCCATTTACTACAAGCGTAATTATAAAAGTTGTCGCAGGGGTTCAACTTTGAATTCATATTTTTGATGGCGCCTGCTGCCGTGGTAACACACGTTTCATTCAAACAATAACCTACAAGATAGACGTTAAGTTAAGTTACAATACAATGTTAATAAGTATTATTTATTTATTATTATATGTTTTACCTTGTCCAGAAGAATGAAATTCAATATCATAATGGCTGCTTGATTTACAATACAACGTTCTGATCTGCAGTAAAAGAGAAAAAGCTATCACGGCAAAAAAAACCATTAAACAAATGAAGCATTTTTCCAAAAAAGTTTTTTTTTTCCATTTCTTCATAAGGTAGTATGACCGCTCCTATGACAAGTTATAAATACATTATTAATATTATTCAATAATATATACCTAAGCACAAGTAAATAATAATTTACTCGAATGAAATGGAAGCAACTCGGCAGTGACAAGGAAATTACTTGTCTAACACGTACATTCCCTGAATTGTATAAATCCTCACTCAATACCTCATGTGTGCTAGGACCGTAAGTATTCATCTGGAAAATAATATTTACAATTTTGTTGAACTAATATTGTGTGACATTTAATAATACCTATAGGCTATAACAGATGAATGATTACTTAAATGAATGATGAACTTAATTTTCTAAGAATACAGTGTCAAACTTCTTAACTACATAGGTGTATTGGACTGGATTGCCATAAACTTGACAATATATGTATGCCGAATGTTCCCACATTATTAAAATATCAGCTATGAATAATTTTTAGTTTCCAAGAACCTCAATCATATTGTAATAAATAAAAAACATAGTTAAGGCCATAATATACAATAAAGTAACAGTAAATTTCACAGGTATGCAAAAATCTTAACTGCCCTTCACTTTAGTTGCTGTTTGTTTGGTACTTCGGAAATTTAGTAATTGAAAATACATAGTATGTTCGATAATAATTCCTCGTTATTTTAAAATAGTTTGTTCGAATACCTACTCACAATGTGTCTACGGTGGTTTCAAAGATAGACATGGCAATGGCTCTCTCCATTGTAAGAAAAAATACATTTGACGAGTGTCCATAACTGTGACTTAATATAGCCATAACATGCTAAACGGTAGGTAAAATAATAATTTATTATTATTATTTACTACTACTAGTAGTAGATGCTAAATAGTTTAAATATTCTTTCACAAAGAAACACAGACAACGTGTACTAGGTACCAAAAAAATTAACTGTTAAATTCTGTTATCAAACTAGGGACGGTTATCAGTGCAAGTTGAAATAAAAATGATAAGCAATGTAAGTTAATATTTATTACAGTAACAGGAAGGAGCGGGAAATATAATATAATACTAAATATAATATAAAATAAAACAACTAACTTTTTTGCAATCTATCGATTGTAATAATTATCAAATATGATGTGTATCTAAAAATATACATTGCTAGAAGACCTTGTTTCTGTCAATATTAATAAAATAAACAATTGGGCAATACCGCTGTATCATTTTATGTAATTTTAAATGATATCATTCATACTTATACATTTCAAAAGTATTCTACGTTATTTGGTACTGAAATACTTTTTTATTTTGTTAATAAGCAGTGAGGAAATAGCTGTGTTGATTTTGTGAAAATAATACTTTTAAATGATCTTGTTTTTCGATAAAGGATTATAGTGACAGCCAATCAGGTTATAGAAAATAGTATATCAATGTTTAATATGATGACCAACTATTTTTCTTATTTGTAACTCATTTAAATCTTTTTTGGCTTATAAGAACTTCATAAAAATTAAAGTGGTATATTTTTCATTGTATATCAATATTTCGGGGATTAAAAAAAAAAAAAATATATAATCTACATCTTTAATACATTATGGCATAGCAGCTGTAGATCATATTGGGGTGGAGGAGATCTGATCACAAAGCTTCAAGGATTAACTAAAAGTGATAAAATCTTCGATGCAAATCTATAGATAGTGAAAATACAAATATCAACAAAATCATTGTGCCTAATGACAATAATGTACTACAAATTGTATATTTATTAATAAAAAAAAAATATGACTACAGATGTTTGAAAAAATTGTATGTGTTATAGTGACAAGTTAAACTAGATCTACCTGTATATAATTTAATGCCTACCTATAGACTACACCCTAATTTTTAGATCTAAGGGTCTTAAAAGTTTGCAGGAAAAAATCAAATACAGAAAAAGTTTCCATCGACCCTTCTAGGTCAACTTTTGTAATTTTCGCTCCAGACAGAATAATGAAAACACATTATTGTAAAAAAAAAAATATCTCAGCTACGCATAAAAGCTAAACAAACCAAAGAAAATTCAATTTATTTTGCTGTCACATTATACAGCAGCAACGACGTCAAACGGTAATTGGATTTGGGATAAAATTCCATTATAAGAACGGATTTAAGTAAGTGCAAAATAAGTTCAGACCTAGTATTATCTTGTCACATTTAATTTGAATGCGTTGACATAATTTGACATATATAAAAAGGACCCAGCCCGTATACAATAAATAAATAAATAAATAAATAAATAAACCACTAAAAGCTGACGCTGCTTTTCGGGGTGAGATTCGCCAGAGGGATTTTCATAGTATTTTACTTAAAGAACATTTTACAAAGTAATGGAAAATGTTTGAATGTTCAAAAAAAAATTTGTACCACGCATTAATGCTAAGTTGAAAAATAAATCAATTAATATTTATAAAATACATTTTTAAAAATGTTTGGGTTATTTCTTGTGCAGTGCAAAGATAATAACTGTATCGAGCTATCGAGTATCGAGTGCTATTAATTTGTGTTATTATTAACCCAATACAAACATTGCCTATTTACAAGTTATATAATTTACCAAGCCGTTTTCAAGTATTGAGAATTTCGAGTTCTTATCTCGACATTTAAATCGCGATCATACTTGAAAAGTCACCAATGTGTTGTAGCTTTTGTCCACTTCTTTTACCTATAGTACCTATATATTATATTATTGTATATAGTATATTTATACAGTTAACTGTTATATATTATATTTATTTATAAAAAAATATGTACATTTTTTGGATGTCTTTCTCAATTTTGAAGGGGGAAGGTGTGACTTTTAACTCAATACCTGTCAGGTTTAATTTCTGATCTAAAAACTTGCTACAATGATAAATCGTTTTTTAATTTATTTTATTGTTATTTCAATCCGCTTCTGATTCTGAAGAATATTCATCAACAAGATGGTTTTGAAGGGTTGAGTTTTCTCAATTCTTAACTCACTGATAATCATATTACCCGTGTGGCCAAGTGCAGTAAATGCTATAAAACATACCAAAGAAAATAAGTGCCTAATAAGTATACACGGTACACTGGCGGTAGTTCAACACGTACTAAAAACAATACCTATTTCATATCGTTCCAAATGGTATAATTTGAAAATATTTTTTAATGACTTTTTTTGTTGCAATTTTTAACTAATAACATAACTAAGCTAATAGATTATTAAAGTATTAACCATTTTAATCAATATTTTATGTTGTACCGCAAATATGTAATCTATAATAAATATGTAATTTACAATGCTCTATAACTTTTTTAAAAATAGTAGAATTAGTTGCAAATTTGTATGAAATATTCTTTAATCATGTACTACCGATAAACATTCACAAACCGAAAAAAATTGCATAGACCCTTTCCCCTAGAAGGATTAGAAATATTTTCTTTATTTCACTTTTTAGTGAAGTTCTAAGGATTTAGTCCTGAAAATTTGACTGAAGGTAAATCTAGAATGGTTCTATGGCATATTATACAATTTTTTTAAAAATAATTTTTTTTCGTTAAGGAAAATTACAATTTCACCGAGTCAATTTTCAGGTTGCTGTGTGTAGATGAATCAACAGCCAACAGGCAATGGAAATATTTTCATTAATTTGTTTACATTTTAATGACAAAAAAATGTAACTAATGTATACATTTTTATAGACAGACGATCATCCCCAATTGTATGAACCCCAACACTAAAAACAAATTTTTAAGCACATTATTGTCAATAGTGAATAGGTAAAATGTTTTTTCGATATTTTTATTTTTTATCTATGAACAATGGACCTCCCTTACTTACTATTACTATAATCCTATAATATTAGATACTAATAAATAGTGTTATTTTTGAAAGCATATATGTATCTATAATAGGATCTGTAAGGATTGTACATTGTTTGGTTATGACGTAGTCATGTTTAAAACCAATGTGAACTACACTCCTTAAAGTGGCATTAATTTTGAGAAAAATTCAACTTTAAGATTTTTTCCTTTAGTTACACTATAAGACCTACCTTTGTGCCAAATTTCACGTTTCTACCTATACGGGAAGTGTTTTATAATTTTGATAATCAGTAAGTGAGTCAGTAACAAAAATAAAAACTTTGAAATTCTCCCTTTTTGAAAAGGCTTATTATTAAGGGCTCAATTTTTTACAGTATCCTAAGCTACTTGAGCTTAATCTGTGTTTCAAATATCATAAGCTTATCTTAAGAGGAAACCGAGATACGTGGGTTAGAAAAACTGGGTGAATTGGTTCGTGTAAAGATACACTGGCATTGCTGGAACTTGGCTTGGCGCACTGCCTTGCGCTCAGATAGAAACAATAAAATATATAAATTAGTGGTCACGCCTTCTATGTTTTTTTTCTAAAAAAGTAGTTGGTTTTTTTTTTTTTTTTTTAATGAGAAACGATTTGTGTTTTACCATCCTAATATTTCATACTAGTTTCGCGCCACCATAGAAACAATCAAAGCGTAAAACCCCAAGTGTTGATTAACGCTGGTTTGAAAAATGCACACTACAATTATAGTGACAGTTTTAAAACGTCTACACAACATGTATTAACCGTTTGCGTTAATAAATATGTGTGAACGCAAACTAGATTATCATTAAATAGTTAATCTGAGATCTATATTGACACACAGGTGTGAACCAAACGGTTGACCACGAAAGGGCGCGATAAAAATCGTATAATATATTATGAAAGCTTTTTCAAGAGTAGCGCGAAAAGAGAGGACAACTTTATATAGGTCAAGGAGGAGGAGAAAGGAACTGATATTGATTTGTAGGGTCGCCCGCCGCGCCAACGCGCAGGTTATAAGTACTGCGCCAAACCACCTCCAAGCGTAGCTGCAAAACCTTTTTTTTTTTTATTACTTTACTTCTGGACCAGCGCCGCACGATCCCCGTGGGAAATCTCGATTAATAATTCTTGGAATATCCAAAGCGTACAATCGGCAGCACAATCGCGCCCTACGTTCGGTCGGAGAACAGCGAGTGCGCCATAAGAGGTCGCCAGAGTCGACAATTCCCCCAAGGCCATACTAAACTTGTACGCCCTGTTCGGGCGTTTATAATAAAGCGGCTATAAAAACAACAAAAACACCGTGTAGATAAACCATCGGATCATGAATAATATGTCTTATGGTACAACTATTATCCACGTAGGAAATAATTTTAATACAGCCGTAATCCGCACACGGTCACTATAAATGTATGTTCATGTTCATGGTCGTTTTTCTCCCCTCTCCTCATCTTCTACACCTCTCTCCACACTGCTCCTGCCCTCACGTTTCCTTGCCCTTCTCTCTCTTATCCTTCCTTGCCCTTCCTCTCTTCTCATTCTCCTTCTCTGTCTACTTTACTCCTCCGCTCACGTTCCCTTTGTCTTGCCCCCGCTTTCCATTTTCCTCCCCTCCCTTATTTGCTCCTACCCTACCCACTCTTCTCCTGACCTCGCACGTTCGTTTCCCCTTCAGGTTAGGCATCTACCCCCAAATCTAACTTATCCCCAGCCATAAGACATATTCATGCATCGACCGTAGGAGTGAACAAACGGAAAAAATATATATTTTGCGTTTTGCAAAATTATGTAACACACGTCGATCCTGCCTGTACCCTAATAGCGGTTAAGAACTAGAAAAAGTTGCGACTTATAGAGACCAAATGTGATAATTTTGACAAACACCACCTATTCCGGGATTTTTCGCAGTTTCCCGGGAATGAATTAAACAATGGGGCAATGAGGGGGGGGGGATTATCTCGTCGCGGAAAACAGCGCTATTAGGGTACACAGTTAGGTTTCGATGGAAAAATCTAGATACATTAAAAGTTTACGCTTTAATTGTTCCAAAAACATTACCTCGAACACGTTTGGGCGGCGGCGATCAATTTTGGCTGCTTTGTAAAACCCTTTGTATGACGGCCGGATCGACGGATTGGCAAACGTGCAGCTCGTCGGTACGGGACAACGATTTCACTGCGATTTAAGCGGATGTTACTTTGGAAAACCCGTGGGTCGACTGGGAGAACGACGTTCGTGCTGGGCGGACAGTCCTTCAAACGATATTGATCATCAAGCGCCGGGATTTGAGCTCCTGTGGGTCTTGCACGGGATTTCGGTCACCCGTTCCAAGACTTGCGCGCAACAAGCTACGGCCGCCGACGCTGCTGCTGCTGCTGCTGCTTTCTTGGTATAATAAAATATGTTGCCGACTTGATCAATCCGCCCGCGATACCGGGTGTCGTGTGGCTCATACCGAACCGATCACCCTGTATATGCATATTATTTTTATTGCTATCTCGAACAAGAACCATGCCTTATGAGCTCTGATGCAGAGCAAAGACGGTGTATTGTTTTAGGTCCAGATTTGTATGTAATATTTTTTTGATATAGTACTGCCGACCAACGTCGACTAACCAGAAAAAAATCATAAACCCTTTCTCCTAGAAGGGATGGAAAATTAATCTTTACTTTGATTTTTTTAGTAGTTACTTTATAGTTTATGGTCTTTCTAGTCAACATTTTTTTATTCAAGGAAAATATCTAAAAAAAAAGAGGAAAATTACATATTGACCATAGTCAATTTCTAAGCTACTATGTGTGAGTGAATCAACGTGAAAAGATATTTGAAAATATTCTCATTATATTGTTAATTACGATATATGTCGAAAAATGGCAGTCAATTATTACAGACGACCAACTCTAATCATATACACTCTTATACTGAAAATACATTTTTAAGCACACTGTTGTCATTGGGTTCCTACGAGTACAATGCTTTATCAATATTTGTATTTCTACCATTATAAATTGTGATTATTACACCGAACAAATTAATTATCATTTATTTAAATAATTGAGTTGTTAGTGTTAGGTCTACCTGCTGAAAATTTACACAAACCAAAAAAGGTGTCTATTGTTTGTAGTTTTAAGCTGTTGAACCCTATTAAGCACAAAAATCCTATTACAATGAAACGTTGCAAATTCTAATTTAATCTAAATTTATTTGCCTTGGAAAAAAACACCAAAAATGGATGTATCCGAGCTCGTGTACAACAGTATTAAGATTGATGTAAATTTAAATTGACTCCGTGCTCTTTTTAGGTCAATCGACAAAACGCTATTATAAAATATATAACAATAACGGCTTCCTCTTTAAAAGTAATTGAATTAGTATTGCGGTCCGTCTAATTTGTCTTTTAAACGAACAATACACGTATATAGAGGCGGCAGTCAATCTATAAGATTAAAAATAAAAGGTCCTAAATTCAGCCAAGCTCACAACTATTTATTAATGTAATCATAAATAAAAATGTTTGATTAACTCGACCACTCGACGGAGGACTTAAGCAGGAAGTCGTTTTTTCTATTGAGTGTCGCATTGGTCATATTGTACTATACATGAATAATAAATAAATAAATATTGAAATAATATATACAAAAGCTACAACACATTGGTGACTTTTTAAATATGATTGCAACTTAAAGGTCGAGAAAAAAACTAGAATAATAATTTGATACTTAAAAATGGCACGGTACATAATATAACTTGTAACTAGGCAATGTTTGTATTAGGTAAATACTAACACAAAGTAATAGTACTCGATACTATACTATCTTAGCACTACACTGTGGGTGGATTCAGATTTCAGTCTAAGAATACATTATTAAAAATGTATTATATTAAATGTATAATATAATACAATATAATATTATATTCTACACAGAGTATAATATTTCTTATTTATTGGCCAGTCGTACTTACTGGACACATAAAATAGTTTTTCAAAATAATATTTGAGTTGTAATTTATTAGTTATTACATCGGTAAAAAGATGTTTTCAGAGTGACACAATTAAAAATTACTTTTTATTTTTGAAAATGTAAATAACTTGTCCTAATAATATAATAATAATTGTTTTTTTAATTGGACACCATAATAGTTCAATTCATAAATACATATTACATAACTACATTTAAAATATTATTATTATCATTATGGTTATTGAATATTGTCCAATTAATAGTGTTTAAGATTGTGAGTCTTGTTTATATGTTTATCGTGAATCAAATATTCTTTTCATGAAATCCAAAAAGTTTACTTTTGTTTTACCTAAAAAAGAAAATTATTTTTTTTAATAGGAGATGACCAAAAACCGTCGTTATATAAATCATATATACAAACTGTTTAAATTAACTTTACCGTGGAACTCTTTCATTGTAGATTTATCGCCAAAATCAAGGGATATAAAACCGTTAGCGCAGACCTACAATATATGAAAAAAGTATTAATACATGCTTTAGAATAGGCTGTGTTTAAGAAAAATTTAAATGTTTATTTATTTTTCAAACAATAAATTTCTCCCTAATTAGTGTAACATTCTTACAATTTAAAATAAAAATCTTACAGCTTAAAGTAGGTATATGAACACTGCAAAATGAATAGTATAAGATTTTCAAGTGTCATATTTTACTGTATGAATTAGATTAGCTGGTGAGCTTGGTGAGCTGTAAGTTTCGCTTGTGAGTACTATTTTCAAAATCCGATTCCTCAAAACTACATTGAATTCTTCATCTTATAAATAATAATAAAATATTGGCCTTTTATTCAATTAAACGTCAAAAGTTAGTGTGATGAAAAAATGTGTAACTTTTTGTTATTATACAAATTACTGTGATATTCTGACAATAAAATACAACCAATAATGAATCATTATTAACTATTGTATTAACCAGTATACAACAAATTTAATTAGCTCTTAATTAGGATTTTGCGAAAAATTGACTGTTTAATAAACAGGTGGTTGGCGTCCTCTTAATGAAAAATTAAGACATGCAGAATATGTGTTAAAAAAAGAAAAAAAAAAGAATATTATTATATACTTCCAAAACAGGAAAACCTTTGTGATCTGAACATAATGTACCACCATAACAGTAAAATACATTTTCGAGTTCCAATCCATTAGAATTAAAAAAGTACACTGTTAAAAAGTTTCTTTCTACAACAAATAACTATTTAAAACAAGTAGGGAATCTACATTATTTGTATTTTTACTTTTGAACACTGGATCTCCCATACATTCTTACTTATTTATTTTATTAATTATAAATTGTTAACCAATTGTATTTATAAATAATGATATGCCCTACATTTTTTTTGAAAGTCCTTATTTCAATTTTTTTCTTTTAGAAGTTTTCTATTTAATGTATCAAGAGGCTTTTTTCCCCCTCCTCCTTTTTTTTTGCACTTACGGCTTTTTTGATTTCCAACATGAACCACAAGCATTCCACAGCGTTAACTACATAGTTGGCTAAAATTGAATTAAAAATTAAAAACTGTCTACATAAGTGAACCGCTTCCAAGGCTTATGTGCATTACTGCCTCTATCGGATTCAAGTTCTCCTAATTTTCCGCTCAATGCTCTATTCATTCCTCTCCAAAAGTAAAATACTTGAAATAGCTGCTGAAGAGTAAGAAATCCCTGTTGCTTATGAAATTCGGTGAGTGTAGTAAACTTGTCCAGAAGAAAATTTACTTCTTGAGACTCGAGTATTGTAACCTGAAAACAATATAAACATACAGAATTTGTATTACAAAGTGTTTACTTCTAACAGCAATGACCCAGCGATTGTCATAAAAAATACGTTGACATTTTTAAAATAGTAGTTTTTAGAACGGAATTCTTTATGGTGCGCCCTGCTGGGATATTATTTTCTGTGCTGGCGTGAGAACTGACTTCTGTCTGTCAATTACTTTAAAAACAACCGAAAATCAACTACAATTTAAAATAATGTTAATGTTTAATTTTTTACTAAAAAGAAAACCGTGGGCTCTATTCAACAAAGTTCAAATACATTGAGTTAAGTATTATGAAATGTACGTGTCACACCCTAAAATTGAATCAAATTTAAATTATAAAAAAATGTATAATGTAGAACATTTCCCCACACTTTTCTTTTCAGTAAAAAATTAAAGATGTTTAAAATTGTAGTTGATTTTCAAAGTAATTGTCAATTTTTAAAAAAATGTGCTACAATTGATTGGTAAATTGTTCTTGTAGTAAAATTGAGATCACATATTATATAAAAACACTATGAATAAAAAAAATTCAATTTTTAATTAAACCCAGTATTATATTGGTTGGCCCACGATAAAAAATCACCCTGTATACATAGGATAAAAATCTTTTTATATCAATTCTTTTTTTTTTTTTTAATGATCTTATTTAATTAAAATTAAATAAATCAACATAATCGAAAGCAGCTTTATGTAAACCTACCTAACCTACGCGGACTCATTCCTAACGAGTGTCTCGTGACCCAAACAGTTTTTTTTATAGTTAACAGTTCGCCCAATTTTTATTACCTACGTTTTTAATAAAAAAAATTTAAAAACCATCCCTCTTGAGTAAAGTATTATCAATTAAGGCCGATTAAAATTTTAAATTTATTGTCTTGTAACATACACATAAAGATAAGACACTAGTTTTCTCTAAAGAAAAAAAAATTGCGATTATTTCTAGAGAAAATGAGTGTCTAATTCTTAATGAATCACTTTGTATTGTGAAACAAATAAAAAATGTAGCATTTGTAGGGTTACAGCACATAATAATTAAGTTGTTTTGTTGGAACTTGGAAAATATGTCAAACTTATAACTATTATCTATATATTATCTATAAATGAATGTATGTTTGTGTGTCCTTTATGCTAGTTGATTTGAGACTTAGAATACCTCGGGTTTGTCGGAGCTTTTGTCAATATCCGCCAACGTCTTCAATAAACAATGCAAATCGGGCTCATCTGTATACAAATTGATCAATTGTTAATTAAGTTATTCCTTTTCAATAAATAAGTACTGTAACAATATAATTTTTAATAATAACATTATGTATAGTTAGTAGCTTTCGTTACTGCTAAACTAAACTAAATTTAACTCGGCGTTGAGCAATTACAAGTATAAATAATATTGTACGTTGCAATTTAAAATTTAAAATTTAATAAGAGTCTCTAGGTATATTTTAGAGTAGCTTCCTGTTCGGCTAGAGTATACCTAAGTATCAAAATTAAAAAAAAAAACCACTAACAAATACTAAATAGATAAAAATCGCAATATTTTCTAGTATTGTGCTACAAAATTGCAGTTATATTCGAGAGTTAGTTCAACATATAATTTTTTATCAGTACATTACCTGAATTGTTTTTAAAAGTTATTTCATTATTCCCAAAGGTTTTTCCCACGTCTCGTGCGAATGCCAAATCGTTAATTCGTTTGGCATTTTTGTAGTTTTCAAACAGTTTTTCCAACTCTATCAATTGATCACTATTTAGTCCGACGCTCTGAAACAAAGTATGACGTGGCAGTTTACACACATACATAATCGGAATGTATTTCAATTTTTTAGTTTATACTATCCGATGCGAATAATTAATAAACAGTAGGTATTATTACACTCTTACCCATGCTGACGTCAGGAAATACAACGCGCAGACAATAAGAGCGCTCTTGAAATGCATCATTTTATTCGAAATTTATAATAATAATAGAATTCAATCGAGTACTACTAATGATATTATAGCTGTAAAACAATTGTGCATCGAAGTCGAACGACGAATAAACAGTAAAGTAAGTATGTTCTTTGCGGCTTCAGGGTTGTGTTGACTCAATTGCAAAAACAAACAATGTTTGCCAAAACAAAAAATTTTGGTTTAATAAATAAATTTTTTTTTTCCTCGCAATTTTGCAGAATTTTGCAGTATGGTAGTTTTTTCCTAAAACTATATGAATATGTTTGTTCAGTTGTCTAATTCAGTTAAATAAAGTGTAGTATTAGACCTCGATAGCTGAAATTTGTATATTTTATGTGGCTAGCTGAACGACCCTTAACTCGACTTTTACGACAAAAGGTCTGCTACCACAATGGTTAGGTTTAACCCCCTCAATAAGTAATTCAATTAAAAACTAAGCCCGTAAAGGAAGTTCGGGGTATAGTGGGGACAGAGCATAGTGGAAATCTTTTGCCCCTAAACAGATAGCTCTTTCAGTTTCCCTTAAGTTTTTGAATACATAGATTATAAACGTTTTGAACTGTTTGTTATAGACTTCTAATTGATAATAATTTTCAGAGTTCGAATATCCAATACTTTTTTTAGTTGGTAACATGATTTCAAAACGATGTGTGGGTAATTGGTATCACGTTTTTTATTTTCAGCGCAATGTCCTTTGAAATGAGTAGTTATATTTTTATCTCCTATACCATTTTTTTAAACATATTTCGTTTGGTTGATTGTGTTATTATATGTTTGACCTATTTACTTGCAAGGTAAATACTTATTTTAAATATTCGTACAATATTATCTTTACCAAATGTTTTATAAACAAATAATAACGAACAAAAAACAACTTGATGTTTTATTTCAAAACTTTTGCGCCCACTAAAACAAGCAATAGGATTTTTTATTATTCACACCTACAGTATAAAAACGCATCGTTTAAGCATCGTTTATTTTTAAGTGATTTTATCACTTTTATATGTATCAATGCTTGAATAACCTTGACTTCTCCGTTTCCACTATGCTCTGTCCCCCCTATACCCCGAATTTATTTTACTGGCTTAGTTTTTATTTGAATTACTTATTGAAGGGGTTAAACCTAACCATTGTGGTATGAGACCTTTTTTCGTAAAAGTTGAGTTAAGTATCGTTCAGCTAGCCACATAAAATAATATGCAAATTTCAGCTATCTAGGTCGAATACTACAACTAATTTAGCTCAACTAGACAACTGAACAAACATATTCATTTAGTTTTAGGGAAAAACCGCTATACTGCAAAAATAACTATGAAACAATTTTTTGCAAGCACACTAGACGTTAGGTTATAATATTCGAGAATAACAGCCATATATTATGTAAATTAATATAGGCGTACACGGGTACTAGTCTGAAACCTAATTGGTTGGAACCAACATTAATGGGAGTAATTTAAAAAAAAAAAAAGGTAATTATTTATAAAACCTCATGAGTGCTTGAGTGATTCACCATAAAATGTTCACCCTGTACATTTAATGTAAATTGTTATTACTATTATTATTTATTATAACAGTGTATTCTGTGGATACACCAGCGCTTATAACATTTTACAATAATAGAAACAAAACGTTGCATATGTATCACGGTGCTATCAAATATAATGTCCAAGAACAAAACAAAATATGTTTTGGCAAACATTGTTTGTTTTTGCAATTGGGGTAACGCAACACCGAAGCCGCATAGAAAATACTTAGATACTTTACTGTTTATTCGTCGTTCGACTTCGATGCACAATTGTTTTACAGCTATAATATTATTAAAAGTACTCGATTGGATTCTTATTATTATTTTAAAAATCTAATAAAACTATGCATTTCAAGAGCGCTCTTATTATCTACGCGTTATATTTCGTGACGTCAGCATGGGTAAGAGTGTAATAATACCTACTGTTTATTAATTGTTCGCATCGGATAGTATAAACTTAAAAACTGAAATACATTCCGATTATGTATGTGTGTAAACTGCCACGTCATACTTTATTTCAGAGCGTCGGACTAAACAGTGATCAATTGATAGAGTTGAAAACACTGGTTAGAAATTACAAAAAATCTAATCGAGTTGACAAGATTGGATTCGCAAAAGACGTGGAAAAAACCCTTGGAATGAAATGGGAAAATGCTGAATCTATGTTTGAATACAATTCAAGTAATGTACTGATAAAGAATTTTATTACCTATCTTTCGGACAGTATTTGTTGAACTGACTCGCCAAAATAACTGCAATTTTGTAGCACAATACTAAAAAATATTACAACTTTTATCTCACTTCATCCGCGCGTACTCGTAACACGCACTGTTTTTTTTTGTACTTGTTAGTGGTTTATAAATCCATTTTTTTTTTTTTCACATGCACCCATAGAATAGCGGGGGGGGGACGCGCCCTGTGAGGAATTACTTCCCCCCAGTCTCTGATGCCATTTATTGGGTACACTAAACAATAAATACAACCATAAACTTAAAAACTAACACACCCACTTCGGGTGGTGGCCTAATAACAATATTCACATTAGGCCACAACGAAATTTAGTTACAAGTTTATTAGTCTATACAGGTTTATATACAGTCGGTGGAATGTTTCCGGACCAGTGACGCGCGCACACGCCACCCTTGCACGCCGGGGTTCTCAATTGGCCGGCCGCTGTCTAGCCCTCTCTGCTTCCTCCTTCTCTTTGAGGACCGACTCGGCAAAGCGGGTGACCGCGTTCCACGCATCAGGGCTTGCAATCATGTTGGCGACCAGTGTCTCCGGGACAACTTCGCCGACGACGTCCTGGAGGTCCCGCCTTTGGGACTCCCAGGCCGAACACTCCACTAGCGTGTGATAGGCACTGTCCACCATGCCTTCACAGTGTGAGCATGCTGGACTGGATGCTTTGCCGATCCTGTGGATGAATTCGTTGAAGCACCCATGCCCAGACAGCAACTGGGTTAGGCGGTAGCCCATCATCCCGTGCTTCCGTCCAACCCATTTCCGGAGGTCAGTGACGAGCGTTCTCGTCCACTCACCTCCTGTTGCTGTCCGAAGTCTGTCCTCTCACTTGCCGAGGGTAGCAGTCCTGAGGGGGGCCCGTTGTCCGGATCCTTCTTCTGCTTGCCGGCGGAGGCGGAACGCCTCTTCTCGCTCCCTCGCCAGCAGGTCGATCGGCGGTATCGCAGCCAGCACGTTGGCTGCGTCGTACGACACGGTGCGGTACGCGCAGACACTGCGGAGTACAGCTCTGCGCTGCACCTTCCTCAATTCCCCTACTCTGGCTTGGTTTAGCCCGCTGGCCCGAACCGGTGCTCCGTAGAGGAGAATGGAGTGGACGACACTAACGAGTAGTCTCCGCCTTGGCTCACGGAGGCCGCCGATGTTAGGCATAAGCCTAGTCAACGACGTGAGCGCACCCTGCGCTTTGACCGCCGCGGCTTTGGCGTGCTGCTTGAAGTTAAGCTTGCGGTCGACTAGCATTCCTAGATAGTTGATCGTCTCTCCCAGCTTAACTTCTACCCCGTTCAGGAAGATACGCGGATCGCTAACCTTGTACCTGCGCCTGATCATCGCCGCTTCCGTCTTCTCAACGGCGAGTTGGAGATCCAGCTCCCGGAACTTTGCTGCCACCGCACACAGAGCTCGGTTTGTCCTATCTTCCACCTCCTCGACCGTCTTGCCGGAGGCGATGATCAACGTGTCGTCCGCGAAACCGATGACCGTCGCCTGGTCCGGTAGATCGGCTCGCAGCACCGCGTCATACGTAAGGTTCCACAAGGTCGGACCGACCACCGAACCCTGTGGAACGCCGCAGGATACCTCGATGGTGACTTCTCCACCGTCAGCTGTTGGGCACGCGACCCTGGCTGCTCGCTCCGAGAAATAGGACCGGAAGATGCGCTGCAGGTACAGCGGCACTTCCCATTCCTGTAGGGCCCGCATGATGTGGCGCCAGCCGATCGAGGTTTATAAATCCCTAGCCGGACAGGAAGCTACTCTAAAATATCCCTAAGGACTTTCTATAAATTTTAAATTGCAACGTACAATATTATTTATATTTGTAATTGCTGAAACGCCGAGTAAACATTAAGGTATTAATTAAAATATTAATATGAATGACAAGCTTTAAGTATATTTTTATATGCATATATAAATAAAGCGTTTACATCTGTTACGTGGTGCCGTCATAATCAGGAGATAAAGCAGCCGGAGTGACACACACATAAAATATAAAAAAAAGCCAGTGCAGTGGAGTCGGGGCATAGTGGGGACGGAGAGGTCACAGGTCAACAGATTTTATTATAACTGAAAGTGATAAAATCACTTTTAAATAAACGCTTCGATGCGAATCTGTGGATAGTATGTTCACACCAGTTATAGCGTTTTAGAAGATATCGTGGGACCAGCAATAATGTACTTAAAATTTAATATTTAGTCTTGTGCAGGGTGGATACGATAAGGGTTGATCGTCTGCCTATAAAAATGTACTGTCATAGTTACCCATATATCGTAATTAACAATTAATAAAAATATTTTCATTACCTGTTGACAGTTGATTCACTCACACATAGCAACCTAGAAACTGACTACGACCAAAGTGTATATTTACCCTATTTTTGTTGTTTTTCCTCAGTAAAAAAAAAAATTGCCTACAGATTTTTGAGAAAATTGTATATGTTATAGTTCCATTTTAGATCTACCTTCGGTCTAATTTTCAGATCTAAATTTCTAAATCTTTGCTTGAAAAAGGAAAAAAAAAAAAAAATTCTATCCCTTCTAGGGGAAAGGGTTTATGATATTTTTTTGGTTTGTTAATGTTTATCGATAGTGCTATGTTTGAAGAACAATTCATATAAATTTGGAATTTTTTCGACTATTTTTAAAAAAGTAATAGAGCATCGTAATTTTAAGTTGAAATTTTTTTTTTGTGTTTTTCTCGATTTTGATGAGGAAGGGGTAACTTTTTTAAATTTTTGGCCTTATAAAGTACCATCCAGATATGATTACAGAGCTATAGAGTTGCTACACGAAGAAATCGGTTCAGCTGTTTACGAGGGTCCAGACACAAACAAAAAATGAATACATAAAAACACATCATTGTAAAAACAATACCTTTTCAGCTCCGCACCGAAGCTAAAATGATATTGTTACAATACTTATTTATTGAAAAGATATAACTTAATTAACAATCGATCAATTTGTATACAGATGACCCCGATTTGCATTGTTTATTGAAGACGTTGGCGAATATGGACAAAAGCTCCGACAAAACCGAGGTATTTAACGTCTCAAAAAAACTAGCATAAAAGACATACAAACATACATTTATTTATAGATAATAGTTATAAGTTTGACATATTTTCCAACAAAACGACTCAATTCTTAAGTGTTGTAACCCTACAAATGCCAAATTTTCAATTTGTTTTACAATACAAAGTGATTCGTTAAGAATAAGACACTCGTTTTCTCATTTTCTCTAGAAATAATCGCAATTTTGTAGTTATTAATTTTTTTTTAGAGAAAACTAGTGTCTTATTTTTATGTGTATGTTACAAGACAATAAATTCAAAATTTAAACATGGCCTTAGTTGATAAGATTTATCACTTTAGGGATTGTGTTTTAATTTTTTTTATTGAAAACGTATGTAATAAAAATTGGGCAAACTGTTAAAAAAAACTATTTAGCGTATCATAAAGCTGCTTTCGATTATGTTGATTTATTTAATTTTAATTAAATAACATAATTTTTTTTTTTTTATTAAAAGAGGAATTGATATAAAAAGCTTTTTATCATATGTATACAATGAGATTTTTTTATCATAGGCCAACCAATATCTCACTGGGTTTAATAAAAAATTGAATTTTTTTTTTCATAGTGTTTTTATATAATATGTGATCTCAATTTTACTACAAGAACAATTTGCAATCAATTGTTACACATTTTTTTTAAAATGTCAATTACTTTGAAAATCAACTTTATTTAAACATCTTTATTTTTTTAAAAAGAATGAAAGTGCGGGGAAATGTTTTACATTGTAAGTTTTTTTTGTAATTTAAATTTGGTTCAACTTTAGGGTGTCACACATACATTTCATAATACTTAACTCAATGTACTTGGACTTTATTGAATAGGGCCCACAGTATTCTTTTTAGTAAAAAATTAAAGATGTTTAACATTGTTTTAAACTGTAATTGATTTTCGGTTGTTATCAAAGTAATTGACATTTAAAAAAAAATGTACTACAATTGATTGGTAACTTGTTCTTGTAGTAAATGTATTGTTTGATTTTTAGTTTGCTTTTTAGTTTACTTTTTTACTATTTTGTTTTTTCAATCATACAGTATGAGTAGTAAGTTAAGTAAGACAAAAATCCGCATGCAGTTTAGGGTTATCACTTATTTTGTACTATTAACAGTAAAAATGAATTCTGTGGTACTAAAATATAATTATTTTTTAAGTAAGTACAAGTTCTGTATGTTTATATTGTTTTCAGGTTAAAATACTCGATTTTCAAGAAGTAAATTTTCTCCTGGACAACTTTAATGCAGTCTCCAGATCTCGAAGACAACAGAGATTTCGTACTCGTCAGCAGCTATTTCAAGTATTTTACTTTTGGAGAGGAATGAATAGAGCATTGAGCGGAAAATTAAGAGAACTGGAATCCGGTAGACGCGGTAATGTACATAAGCCTTGGAAGCGGTTCACTTATGTAGACAGTTTTTAATTTTTAATTCAATTTTAGCCAACTATGTAGTTAACGCTGTGGAATGCTTGTGGTTTATGTTGGAAATCAAAAAAGCCGTAAGTGCAAAAAAAAAAGGAGGAGGGGGAAAAAGCCTCTTGATACATTAAATAGAAAACTTCTAAAAGAAAAAAATTGAAATAAGGACTTTCAAAAAAAATGTAGGGCATATCATTATTTATAAATACAATTGGTTAACAATTTATAATTAATAAAATAAATAAGTAAGAATGTATGGGAGATCCAGTGTCAACAAAAGTTATTTGTTGTAGAAAGAACCTTTTAACAGTGTACTTTTTTAATTCTAATGGATTGGAACTCGAAAATGTAGTTTACTGTTATGGTGGTACATAATGTTCAGATCACAAAGGTTTTACTGTAATGGAAACATATAATAATATTCTTTTTTTAACACATATTCTTCATGTCTTAATTTTTCATTAAGAGGACGCCAACCACCTGTTTATTAAACAGTCAATTTTTCGCAAAATCCTAATTAAGAGCTAATTAAATTTGTAATATACTGGTTAATACAATAGTTAATAATGATTCATTATTGGTTGTATTTTATTGTCAGAATATCACAGTAATTTGTATAATAACATAAAGTTACACATTTTTTCATCACACTAACTTTTGACGGTTTAATTGAACAAAAGGCCAATATTTTTTTTATTATTTATAAGATTAAGAATTCAATGTAGTTTTGAGGAATCGGATTTTGAAAATAGTACTCACAAGCGAAACTTACAGCGCACCAAGCTCACCAGCTAATCTAATTCATACAGTAAAATATGACACTTGAAAATGTTATGCTATTCATATTGCAGTGTTCATATACCTACTTTAAGCTTTAAGATTTTTATTTTAAATTGTAAAAATGTTGCACTAATGAGAGAGAAATTTATTGTTTGAAAAATAAATAAACATTTAAATTTTTCTTAAACACAGCCTATTCTAAAGCATGTATTAATACTTTTTTCATATATTGTAGGTCTGCGCTAACGGTTTCATGTCCCTTGATTCTGGCGATAAATCTACAATGAAAGAGTTCCACGGTAAAGTTAATTTAAACAGTTTGCTTATATGATTTAAGTAACGACGGATTTTGGTCATCACCTAATAAAAAAATGTAATTTTCCTTTTTTTAGGTAAAACAAAAGTAAACTTTTTGGATTTCGTGAAAAGAACATTGGTTCACGATAAACATAAACAAGACCCACAATCTCCAAAACTATAATATTAATTTTCAATAATACAATTTTTACAATTTTGAATTTTTTTTAAAGGTGTATAATGTCCTTTATTTATAATAATAAAGGACATAATATATTGTAATTGTTAATATTTTACCATGTATACCACAGTATACATTGAATGTTTTTTTTTAATAAATATAAATGTTTGTAATTAAAAATAAAATGTTTTATCGTTTAACATTATTTGATTTATAACAAAAAATAAGTAGATAAATTAAATTATTTACATAGAGAATAATACAGAATATTTTTATTAAAAAATGAAATAACTATAATTAACTTAATAAAAATGTACTTATTGAAAAAAAATCCAGTTAAAACAACAGTATCAGCAGAAAACGTTTCTTTCAACCTAATATTATGTTATTAATTCTAGAGTGAAGAACAAAATATGTATATTGTTTGTAATGTTACTAAGTTTACAATAACACAAATAATAATGGCTGGAACGCAGAATTTTTGTTAACTGCTAGAAAGCTTCTCTTTTTAATTTAACCATAAAATATATTAGACAACATAAAAAAATTATATAAATCACAAGTAAATAAATATAACATTGCTTAGGAACACTAAATGTATTATAATAATTCTATCTTACGATAAACTAACAAGTATAAGGAACTTGATTTAACTAGGAAATATAAGCTTTTTTAATGTTCGAAACATTAAGTTCTGTTGATCTAGTTTTTATAGGAAGCTAAGCATATTATGCTTGTATTTAGTATACACAATGCGACTTTAGAAAGGGGTATTGATTATTTTCTTAAAACTTGCAAAAAAATAAACTGTTAAAAAAAAACAGCCGTGTGATACAAAGACCTAAGTCCTAACTATGTTCTATAATTTTTTTTTCAATTAGATAAATGACAAATCAGCATAGCCTAGTTTTGATTTATAATTTTAATAATAAATCAAATGACATTATTTTAATTTAAATTAATAAGTATTCAGGGACAATAAAGTAGTTTAATTGAATTTCAATGAAGATTTTATATTAAATCGGATAGTGTACAATAAGAAACACAATTTGAAACAGTTTCATATAAAATTACACAAGAAAGTTCATATAAAAAGAGTGCAACTTAAATGATAATTACCTTAAGTAAGTGTGCTTATTTAGGAGGAAAACTCTAATTTATTTTATTAACTCCCAACTTAATAAATACATATTTTTGTTCATAAAAATGTTTGGAATATGATTGTGTACACTCGGTATAGTTGAAGGAGATGATTAGATTGATAGGTTTTAATTACCGGAGAAAATGAAGAAAGAATAATAAGAATTTCTTTTTCTCGTGAAAATGTTTCAGCTATTATCTTTTTTTTCTCAAAACTGCTTTTTATTGAATAGAAATGGCACTTGAAAGAAAATGAATAGCTCTTTATATTATCGTGAGACTAGACCAGCTTACTCAACGGAGTAAAACGCCAAAATTATTATGTCACGGTAAAGTTAAAAAAAAAAAAAATAATAATGTCATGTCCTATTAAATTACAGAAGAAACAGAAGCATCAGCCGGTTTATCCGAAGGAGGCGCGTTATCGTCAAGACATTCGGAAGATGTCCCTTCGTCGTCGTTTTCACTGTCATCAGACGGCTCGAACGTTCGTGACTTTTCAACAGCAAATTCGATGGACAACGTTAAATGTTTATTATTTGCAAAATAAACCTTTCTCATACCTTCGACCGCAGCAACCGCGTCTTCCACGCGTTCGAATTGAACGTAAGCATACGTGTCGCCTAAGAGATGTTCTATTTGCTTGATTTTCCCGAACCGTTTGAATTCCTTTTCCAACCACACGTCCGTGGTCCGTGAACAAAATTTGCCAACCCACACCCGGTTGGTCGGCTGCGATTTCCCGAAACTGCTTTGCAGATTTTTCGTAAAACAGTCATCGGGTATTCGGGCTTTTCTCATATGCGGTGGCTTGTATCCCGTTAGACTGCACGGAGAAACGAAATTGGGCAACGTCGAACGATAAGTAGGGAATTTGCCGAACTCGCGATTGTCACAATGTCCGAAATTGCATATGCGGAAAGTGTTTATTTCGAATTGGCCGCCACAAAAGGTTTTCTTATAGCGGATGGCAGCGTTGCGTGTCAATCGTCTGATTTTATCTCCCCTAAGAAGACTGAGCTTTTTCCTTTTTGATATACCAAAACTAGGCTTCGGAATATCGACACCACGGTTCATATTTCTTTTTTCACAGTGACTTTTGTACAGTTAAATTATCTTGGCCTCTATCCCGATTGCGTTAACCACCGTACGACGACCTAGAAATCATTCGTTTCATCAATTAATTAATATCAACACATTTTAAGCTAAGTTACTTGGCACATACGTCTTACCTCTAGGGGTCATTGAAAGATAAGTTATAAGAATTGATAGATTAGATATCTAGAGAGGAGGAAGGTTAGGAGTGAATACAGAAGAAGGCTAGATGGAAAAGAGGTTATAGGGTCTCATCCTTATAGGCTGATTCCCCTCACCCTATTCCTTCCTCTCCCTCCCAACATGATTGAAGCGACACCAAAGTTATGTTTTAAATTTAATTAACAGGTTAATAGATTTTTTGTCATGAATGTGTCTCATTTTGGTCTTCTAGCCATCAAGTACCATGAGACATATTCATGATCCAATGTCTTTCCTTCGAGGGAAAACTAACGATTTTATAGTATATTATAAGGTTTTTTTAAAAAAATATGTTTGTATCTCAAGATACACTTGGATAGGAATTACCTAGGACAACAATAATAAATGGTTACAATTTTCAAGCTAGACTCATAAGTGATAAAAGGTAACTTGAGATTTTGGAGGTCTCCAAAAAAAAAAACCTTAAAAAACTTTAAAAAAAATACCTTTTGAGCTTCACGTCGAAGTTGATAAATGAGATTTCCTTATGTAAAAACACTGCATGGATCTGAAAAAATACACAATATGGTTTTAAATTTTTTTTCATCCCAAGCCACTGAAGAAATATATACATTTTTGAAAAGTTGAATACTATTTTTTTTCAATTATTTATAACAGCTATAAATACTTAAAAACAAGAAATTTTTGATCAGCGGATCTTAAGATTTTCCAAAAATAATTTGATAGATATACTATTTAAAAAACGGTTATCTAATTAAGTTTCGTTTATATTATAAAAATTTAGCATGGGAATAAAATCAGAGAAAAACTACTAAGTATTGAATTATTATCCTGGTTTCAATAAAACGTTGATTTTTTTTTATGCATAGTAATTAACTGTTCACACGTTGCATACAATTTTAGATCTACCAAATTAACATTGTTTTTTTTAAATAGGTATACTTAAAAAAAAATATTTAGTAATTCTACCTAATTGCCTATCTAAGGGTAATTTCAATTGGGTGATGGAATTAATGAATACAATTTTAACCTGGTTATTAATTCAAGGATTTTTAATTGCAGGTGAAAATTACCTAAATCTTAGATGGGCATTATTTAAACAATTTGTTTTAAATATGAGAATAAATTGTTTTAAATATTTAATAAAAATTAAAATATAATTAAAACAAAATTAAAATAGTAATATAAGGTTTTATTTAAATGTTTACACAAGAGCCACCAAACAATAATTTCAAGGTACATATTATTTCAAGTAAAAAATTATTTAATGCACTAAATAAACACGAATTTTAATAACTCATTTTTTTAAAATTATTTTTTGTTATATAAATAAAAAATGCTTAGGTTTAACTTATGTAATCCTTACCCAACCGAGGTTCGGTCTTCTGGTATAATTATTTATTATAGCTATATGTAGGTACATATTATTTATTAAGATATCATACAGCTAATATCTGAAACGACAATAAAAAATACCTGACTAGTATTTAATCAGTCAATAGAAATTAATCCTATGCAATCTATATAAGCGTTAATATGTCTTGATAGGTAGGTAATATTCAAAAACGGATCAAAATATAATTTGTATACTTAAGTAACAGCCAAGTGTCTAGACACAATGAACCGCCATCATAACAAAGTCGGAATTCAGAACCCTTCGTCGTAACAACCGCCATCAATGTAGAAAACAGCTGCAAACAGTCTCATACAATAATTTATATGAAATCGATGTCCCTTCTAACAATAAAAACAACCTTTTGTAGCCCAAGCAACAGCTGTTACCCACGTTATCTGATTTTCGTAGAGAAAAATAAATTTAAGGTCCTATTGCATTCCAACCTAATCGGACATTGAAATCTGAAGCGGTGCCTTTAAATTTTACAGTAAATTTCGGCATTGAACTGTTATGTTTAAATGCCATCTGATTGTTAAAAGTTTTTTAAAACTGATTATCTCTATCAGCTGACTTATGTTTGAATTATATTTGTATTTGTATTTCTTTTTATGACTAAATATTTTGTAACACTAATCTGTATTATGATTACTTATTAATACATATATACTTATCACTAGTCTACAATTGAAATAATAATTGACAGTGCAACTACAGAGTTAGGGGCTAGGTTAGGTTTTAGGGGGAAAAAAGTGAATGCCTTTTTTTAAATTAATGTATGCACAATTAATCATTTATGGGCGTAATAAATAAGCACGATATACAATTTTAAGAGTTTAAATTAAAAAATTAATAATGCAGTCATATATTTCATATTTTACCGAGTAAAAAAAGTGTATGTATAGATATAAATATAATAATAAAAAAAAAAGTTAGGAATTAAAAACAATTGCAAACCCACGACGCGACACCGATAGGCTGAAAAGTATTGTTTTATTGTATTCGATTTCTTAACTTTTTAAAACTTTAAGAACTTGAATACTTGAATAGTTTGCAATTCTTTAAAAGAAAAAATGAGTGTCTTATTTTAAATGAATCACAAGGCTTATGTTAAAGTAAATAATTAAAACATTTTTTTTTTTTTAAACACGCTTTTCTAAAAATAGTAAAAAATAATTTTACTACATGAATAATTTACCAATCAATTGTAGCACATTTTTTAAAAAATGTCAATTACTTTAAAATAACCGAAAATTAACTACAATTTTAAATAATGTTAAACATCTATCATTTTTGACTAAAAGAAAAGCGTTGGCCCTATTCAACAGTCTCTAATACATTTATCAGATAACATTTCAGATAATGTTTTATACCTATTATAAGTTTTTTAGTAATTTAAATTTGGTTAAATATTATTGTGTGACACGTACATTTCATAACACTTTAGTCAATGTATTTGAACTTTGTTGAATAGGGCCCACGCTTTTCCTTTAAGTCAAAAATTAAAGATGTTTAACATTATTTAAAATTTCAGTTAATTTTCGGTCATTTTCAATGTAATCGACTTTTAAAAAAAATGTGCTACAATTGATTGGTAACTTGTTCTTGTAGTAAAATTATTTTTTACTTTTTAGTCCTATTAAAGGTATTTAATAATTAATGAATAGATTACTAAATTCGTTTTGGATGGTTTGAAAAAAAACATAAAAATTATAGTGAAATGACCTCTACATATGACCCCGTGTAGGGAGACCTGGATGTCCGAATCCCAATATTACTACAGGACAATGTATTATCATCCAAGATGAGTGTTTGAGCCAAGTTTCAGCCCTCTACGACATCAGGAAGTGAGTTAAATTAATTTTACAAGATTTGAAAAATATCCGTACAAACGTACGCGTTATCGAGTTAAAGAAAAGCATGTAAAAAAACGCAAACGGGTAGTAGGGCAGGCTGACATTATTAAACGCATCAATATTAGACATGACAAGTAAACGAGGTACATTACAATAATATGTTGGTAAGAAATAAGTAATTTGATATCATGAAGCTATACATGTTCGAAATGTTTAACTACAAATTAAACCTAAATATCTAATTGTCAATAGAACTCTTCAATTAAACGCATAATTTTACAGACAATATTATAGGTAAATCAGTACGCACCTTTTTGTATAATGTTCGGTAATAAATCGTAGATAGTAGATGGATACCTGTTCAGTATTCCTTAAAATAAAAATATTGGGCTTGGCTTTGCCTTATCACTTATTCAGAACCGATTGGACGTCGCCGCGCCACGTCAGCACTCCACTCATGGAAAAATCAAAGTAGGTATCTGCATGAATTAATTTTCAAAACATTAGCGGTAACGACATAGTATAACAAGTGGATAATTAACAGTATCGTTTAAAATGGTTTTAAACAACGGATATTGTTGTTTTTATTTACATTTGGTCAGGAAATATTTCTTAAAACTCGTCGTTGAATAATATTGTTTGTAGTTGTTCAGTTGTTACCGTAACCGTGGTATAACATTGGTATATACACTAAAAAACAAAAATCAATATTTAGTTGGCGTCTCTGTACGAGTTGTTGTTGGAGGTAGAAGTTGATACGGCGTTTCTGCGAAGTACACAGTTGTTAGCTGTATAATGTTAGTATTGCTTTGACATTTATTACTTAAAATGTTTGGAAATGGTTATACTATGAAGTAAGATTATTAGACAATTTGAAAAAATCAAAACACGAAGTCATTCACTATTGTCATAGAATACTGGGCTTGAGGCACTAAAAAGTCGACGAGCTATTGGTAAGACGTATGTATAGTAATAGTATGTAATAGTATAGTATAGTACATTAGTATTGGGTAGGAATATGGTTTTCTATATCCTCTAGCTTTAAAGTTATTAAAAAAAGTGCTGCTTTTTCAATCGCAAGCTGACCGTCGCTGCTTGCTATACTGGGATGGTGATACAAATCTCGTTGTAAATTCCCTTATTACCCATATCATTCGGATCGCTAATAATGTCTTCGCTTTTACTCTCTATTAATCCGTCGTTGGTATCGGTGTTAGTGTTTTGCCAACATTAAACTTATATTAGGAATAAGTTGTTCAGTTGTTGTTTTGAAACTACATTTACCTTTTTCCAATATAATATTTTACTAAAATAGCAAAAATATAAAAATTTAAACATCTATCTGTTGGTACGATGATCAGTCGAAGTCTGCCGTACCCCATTATGTTAGCGTCGCGCTTGTATGAGACTACCCGTGATATATATATATTTAACATTCATCATTTTTTTTATAAAAAGTACTGGAGTCTTTCTATTCTAGACTAGTCTTTTTCCTCGACTGTCTGTCCGCTTGGACGAGCATGGTTCAGCCCCGACGGTTCTTTATTATTGTTGTTGTTATTAATATTATTATTATTATTATACATTTTATAAAAATAAATTATCAACTATGTTTAACACAAAGCATAATAGACAAAAAAGAAAACATAAAATACAGAGAACCCCTGACTGCGTTTTCGCACCGCTGCAGCTATGCCAAGTTATCTGGCAACGTTAGTATGACGCTAACACAATACGAACCATGTTACAAATCATGGAGATACCTATGATAGGTTAAACACGTTTTTACAAAATTTCCTGATTTTCTTGTATCAGTACACTCATCTTTTTGAATTTGAATTTGGGCTTGTCCCATTTTAAGTATAAAATATAAGTTTATTTGACTAAAAACTCAAAATATAAAAGCAATTTTATTTATACTTAAATTAAAACTCAAGTATGTTTCATGGTACAAAAAATATTGTTTGTTTCCTTCCACTCTAGTTGCGGTTTCAAAATCTCAATCTTACCCGATAAAAAGTAATTTTTTTTTGTCATATTTGTTTAATTGATACTTAACTGTCTGCACATTCATTTAAAGTTTAAAGGATTGTAATCTTAAGCGCTAACGTAGGCAGCATTTACACAGCCTTTTTTGAAAGAAATTGGCTACTAAATTCTATATTATGCGTAAAGACTGTCTGTTTGGACTGTCGGATATGCTCTTTTCACAAAAATGTGAAACTTTCAAACATGCTAGCGCTTGAAAGTTAAACGATTCTTTGCGCGTTACACATCGATTCAGCTATCTGTGTAAAATCGACTGTGTATTCTTTAACTGTCCTTCATTATTTATTTCAAGTCCTACGTTCTCTAAATTTTTCCCTCAACATTCAAATGAAAGAATTTGTTAAGATTTAAAAACAACACTTTTCATAGATATCGTTAAGTCTGAACTTACATACTTATGTTATGTATTTGTTAAAAAATTAATGATTTAAAAAACAAATAAATTTGAAAATAGTAAATAATAAAAAATATTACAGTTTATGAAACTTTTAAAAAACTACATATAAATTATTATTTGTTACTCAAGTGAAAATTGCCCGTGTCTGGTGGTTTCATTATCTATGACTAGGTATATTAATAAAATCTTGGTTGTCTGTGCGGTGCTCTTTATCGTCAAAAGTACTTCATTGAATTATATCTAATTATTTGTATTCCTAGGTTCCCCAGGCGTGTTACTGTCTATTCAGATGTTAAAACAATTCTCTTCATTTTTTAAAATTGGCTAAAATTATTATAAATTATTGATTGGAAACATTTCTGAATGGCTAAAGCAGTACTATTTAAGGCTGCCATGTAATATTAACTAAACAAATTTAAAAATATTAAATTCAATATATGAAATAAAGTGTAAGAAAATATTTAAATAAAGATTTTTGTATTTTCATTATAATGTACAATTAGTGTTTGTTAACTTGTAACAATTTACGTTATCAAAATATTATTCTTAAATTGTTATCGCACTCGAGAAGATTCTGTTATCATCAATTTGAAATTGGCACCAAGTGGATAATTTTGGCGCAAGACACTAAATTTCTCTAATAATTTTGTCTTAATGTATCATTTCATTATATTGGATATTTTTTATCTTTTAGTAAAATAATCACTGCTTTTCAACATGTATGTGAGAGCACAGTGCGAACAACCATGTGAATAAAATAAAAATAGTTTGATGAGTATCTTTTCTTCTATATTACTTTCATAGGCGCAATTTCAATTTTTAACTTGGGGGGGGGGCTGGAAATGTTTTTAAAATATATATATAAGTAAATATGTTTTTGTATTTCAAAATTGTATGCATAACCTAATTTTTTTGGGGGGGGGGGGGGGCTAAGCCCACCCTAGCCCCCCCGTATATGCGCCTATGATTACCTTGTTGTTTACAGATTAATAAAAAAACACAATTATAATTTATATGTACATATTAAAAATTATAACTAATGTGACATAATAAACGCTTAAGGTATGGAAAGAATAAGTAAAAATTGGAGCAGATATTTTAAGCGCATATTTTGCTTTATTAAAAATATTTGCTAAGTTTTTAATTTAAATTATTGATATCTTTTGTTGTATTTTGACATGTTCCAGCTCAGTTGTGCAACACAGCCCTAGAAATACCCTTACAGTGTAATCATCTGCTCACGACGTCTTCATCTCTCAACAATCTTGCCTGCCGATAGCCGCTAATTTTAAAAAAGAAGTTTGGAAAAAAGCGAGCACTTAACTTATACTTATTATTTTATAAACTTGTATGTATGTCTATAAATCTGAAAGTTTGTTGGTTTGTTAACTATAGAATTCCACATCCTTTGACCTCAAGTTGCCAAATTTTGAATTAGTCTGTAACGTGATCCCAGGAAGGTTTCCGACGCATCTCCAACCGTCCCAAGACCAAAGAAGGTAGGTGCTCAAAACTTAACATTTTTCTTAAATTATTATTTTTGTCTTTTATAATAAAAATGTGTTACAAGCGAGCTGAGTAAAACCTGCTAATTTAATGTAAAAATGTCCAACCCATGTGCATAACCATCCAATCCATTTGACAATAATAAAAAAACGTTATTAAAAAACAAGATCTAGCTTGCAATAATTCTGGAAAACTATTTTTACTTGTCTAGTTAAGTCAAGTCAGGTTAAATTTTCTTATTTCTTAAGATTTAAGCTTTTCTAACCGACATTTAATGTAGGTATACAAAATGAATGTAAAGAACTGCACTATCGAGGCAATTTAAAATATTGTAATTGTTATTTAAGAAGGTGAACATATTTTGCAACTAATTAACATTAAAACTACCTACAGAAGCCTAACAATTGAATATAAACAGTAAAATATTATGAAGAAAGAAAAAATAGGTTTTTTTCTGAGCTTATGTATAGAAACTAATTACTTTTTTTATTTTATTACAAAACATTTTAATAGTTAATTTTTTTTTTGGTTTTATTCTGTTGCTTAATTTAACGTTATCAATATATAAGGTAACTCATAGTTAGAACACTCGGTTTGTAAGTAAGTTGTAGTGTTCAGTACCTTTTTCCATTTTTATAGAAATTGAATTACAGTAAAAACAATGTATTTAAAATGAGGCAACAGGTGCAACAGTGGGCTCTCGCAAAAAAAAAAAAAACAATATACAAGTTTTTTATTTAAACTAGTAGGTGCAATTAACATGTTTTGTGCGGCCATCTAGTGGAAATTAAAAAAAGATAAATATGCCTGTGATGCATTTAAATATTTTCTAATTATAAATAAAATTGTTGTGTGTTTGTCCATTGTTGCGCTCATCACCTTATTAGTATTAACTGTTTATCTGGAAATTAATTTTATAATTTTTTTTTTCAGAGCGTACGCTATCTAGTCAACTTGCGAGATGGCGAAATTTCCGAATCCTCGATACCATTACGAAATGAGTCCTAAAGCGAACTATAAAGTTGACATTGTTACATATAAGTGTGACCTATGTGAAGAAAAGTTTATCACACTAACCGATTTAAACAAACATAATGAAATCCATACCAAGGCAAACCCGAAAAACAGTCAGGCCAAACAATCTTATGAAACTCAAACCGTTCGTAAATCATCGAGAGTTCCGATTCCAAACAAAAAATTTTTGGGGTATGATTGTGATCTGTGCTCAAAATCGTATAATCGAGCGGATATGTTAGACTATCACAAAAAAAAATATCATCAAGAATTGTTATCTAAATGCGATGTTTGTAAAATTGTATTCTTTAACAAGCCAGAATTCGACACCCACAACTACGCAAAAAAACCAATACTTTGTAAAATTTGTCTCAAAAGTGAAGACAGAGACAAAAAAAGTAAATTACCAACTTGCCCAAAAAAACCCAAACCTAACGTGCCATTACCAAAATGCGCTTGTACCTGTTGTGCGCAATCAAATAACAAATTCAATAGAATGCATAAGTGCCCGGTATGTAATAAAAAATTTTTTAAACGAATAAATCTAATCAGACATAAACAATTAAAACATAACAAGGCGAACGAAAGTAAGACTGATGCAATGATGACTATGACTGATTCATCGTCGACGAAAACTGATGCAACATTGACTATGACTGATTCATCGTCGACGAAAACTGATGCAATGATGACTATGACTGATTCATCGTCGACGAAAACTGATGCAACATTGACTATGACTGATTCATCGTCGACGAAAACTGATGCAACATTGACTATGACTGATTCATCGTCGACGAAAACTGATGCAACATTGACTATGACTGATTCATCGTCGACGAAGACTGATTCAACGTCGACTGAAAGAGCTACAGCCGATCCGGAAGAGCTAAAAGTGTTACGAAGCTTATATACGAGCGGACAGTCATTTGATTGTGATATCTGTAACGAAATTTGTTCTAGACCCGATCACTTAGATTTGTATCTATGGAGAAATAGTGGTAACAGTGAAGAACGTGAACCCCCTCCCAAAACATATCCATGTTACGTGTGCCGTGAGCCACTTGCAACCTTGGAACTTAAGAAGGCGCATGAATACAACCATATTATAACAATGATTTTTTAATGCGTTTTGATTTAACGGGTAGATTTTTTTTTAAATACATTTTTATTAGCCACTTATTATATAAGACAAATTTGTAGACATTCTTTTTTCTTGCTTTCTCTTTTAATCCCTTTTATTTGGTTTGTATAACATTCCATCAATCTGTATCTTCTTTAGTTTTTTACGTTTCATCATAACTTAAGAAGGTGCATGAATTCGACCATATAGAAACAATGATTTTTTAATGCGTTTTGTTTATTTAACGAGAAGATTTTTTTTAAAAACATTTTCACTAGCCACTTATTATGTAAGATAAATTTGTAGACTTTCTTTTTTCTTGCTTTCTCTTTTAACCCCTTTTATTTGTTTTGTATAACATTCCATCAATCTGTATCTTTCTTAATTTATGTGTAACCTTAAACTAGTCATAAATCAACAGTGATTTTTTTTTTTTTTTAATGTAATTTAATCACTAAATACCAGATTTGAAAATAATTATAAGTACTACGTATGTATACTTAAAGAATATTACTTGTTTTTAAACCATTTTTTAAATTTATTTTAGTTTTATTGTGTGTTGTTCATTTTTTAAACAATTAGACGTGCAAGCATATTTAACATTTTTAGCTAATAAGCTTATGAATACTTAAGTTTACTATTAAACTTATTTAAAATTTAATTTCAATAATATGTAAAAAAAAAAAAAAAATGAATGACAAGTTTGATAATTTGTATTATGTACTTTACTATCCATATATTAAGTATATTATACAAATTCTTTATCAGAATAAAAATGAACTTTGTAGCATTAAGTATAAGTAAGTATTCTAGTCGTAGATAATTATTTTAAATTTGTATTTAACTATAAACTAGTCATAAATCAACAGTGATTTTTTTTTTAAATTAATTTATAAGTATGTATACATGACTAAAAATGTTCTTAGTACATCTAATCTAGTTACCTATTAATGGTCACACATCTTTTCTCAACATGGTCATATAAGCAACTTATTTTTGTTTAATATTTTAATTATAAACTTACTAAAACCTATCTATTATAGTTGATATTAGTATTGTAGTTTCATAGTGTGTTGTTCATTTTTGAAACAATTAGATGTGAAAGAATATTTAACATTTTTAGCAAATAGGCTACTTGAGTTTACTATTAAACTTTTTTTAAATTTAATTTCAAAAATATGTAAAAAAAAAAAAAATGATAAGTTTGATAATTTGTATTATGTACTTTACTATCTATAAATTAAGTACAAATTTTTCGTCAGAATGAATATAAACTTTGTAACGTTAAGTAAAGTAAACTCATTCTAGTCATAGTTAATTATTTTAAATTTGTGTGTAACCATAAACTAGTCATAAACAGTGATTTTTTTTTTAATGTAATTTAATCACTAGATTTGAAATTAATTTATAAGTATGTATGTAAGTACTTTAAGAATATTACTGTGGTTTTTAAGCCATTTTTAAATTGATTTTTGTATTTCTGTATTTTATACTTGCGTGCTACTTCAACGTACGTTATGCTATAACATTCCATCAATCTGTATCTTCCTTAGTTTATACGATTCATCATGACTTCCAAAAAACCTCTGCAGTATATAATTAAAAGTTCCTAATTACAATAAATATAATCACTTTTTAATGGTCACACATCGATCCTCAACATGACTCTATAAACTACTTTTCTTAGTATAATGTTTTACTTATAAACTTATAAAACCTATTTATTTTATATTATATTAGTATTGTAGTTTTCTAGTGTGTATTTTTTAAACTATTAGACGTGCAAGAATATTTAATATTTTTAGCAAATAAGCTACTTGAGTTTACTATTAAACTTTTTTTAAATTTAATTTAAAAAATATGTAAAAAAAAAAAAATGATAAGTTTGATAACTTGTATTATGTACTTAACTATCTATAAATTAAGTATATATTCTTTCAAATTCTTTGTCAGAATGAATATAAACTTTGTAACGTTAAGTATAAGTAAACTCATTCTAGTCATAGTTAATTATTTTAAATTTGTGTGTAACCATAAACTAGTCATAAATCAACAGTAATTTTTTTTTAAATGTAATTTAATCACTACATTTTAAATTAAATTAACGTATGTAAGTACTTTAAGAATATTACTGTGGGTTTTAAACCATTTTTATAATTTATTTTTTTGTATTTCTGTATTTTATACTTAAGGATACTTCAACGTACGGTATGCTATAACATTCCATCAATCTGTATCTTCCTTAGTTTTTTACAAGTCATCATGACTTCCAAAAAACCTGCAGTATATAATTATATGTTTCTAACTAAAATTAATCTAATCACTTTTTAATGGTCACACATCGATCCTCAACATGACTCTATAAACTACTTTTTTTAGTATAATGTTTTACTTATAAACTTATAAAACCTATTTATTTTATATTATATTAGTATTGTAGTTTTCTAGTGTGTATTTTTTAAACTATTAGACGTGCAAGAATATTTAATATTTTTAGCAAATAAGCTACTTGAGTTTACTATTAAACTTTTTTTTAATTTAATTTAAAAAATATGTAAAAAAAAAAAAAATGATAAGTTTGATAACTTGTATTATGTACTTAACTATCTATAAATTAAGTATATATTCTTTCAAATTCTTTGTCAGAATGAATATAAACTTTGTAACGTTAAGTATAAGTAAACTCATTCTAGTCATAGTTAATTATTTTAAATTTGTGTGTAACCATAAACTAGTCATAAATCAACAGTAATTTTTTTTTAAATGTAATTTAATCACTACATTTTAAATTAAATTAACGTATGTAAGTACTTTAAGAATATTACTGTGGGTTTTAAACCATTTTTATAATTTATTTTTTTGTATTTCTGTATTTTATACTTAAGGATACTTCAACGTACGGTATGCTATAACATTCCATCAATCTGTATCTTCCTTAGTTTTTTACAATTCATCATGACTTCCAAAAAACCTGCAGTATATAATTATATGTTTCTAACTAAAATTAATCTAATCACTTTTTAATGGTCACACATCGATCCTCAACATGACTCTATAAACTACTTTTTTTAGTATAATGTTTTACTTATAAACTTATAAAACCTATTTATTTTATATTATATTAGTATTGTAGTTTTCTAGTGTGTATTTTTTAAACTATTAGACGTGCAAGAATATTTAATATTTTTAGCAAATAGGCTACTTGAGTTTACTATTAAACTTTTTTTAAATTTAATTTCAAAAATATGTAAAAAAAAAAAAATGATAAGTTTGATAATTTGTATTATGTACTTTACTATCTATAAATTAAGTACAAATTCTTCGTCAGAATGAATATAAACTTTGTAACGTTAAGTAAAGTAAACTCATTCTAGTCATAGTTAATTATTTTAAATTTGTGTGTAACCATAAACTAGTCATAAACAGTGATTTTTTTTTTAATGTAATTTAATCACTACATTTTAAATTAAATTAAATTAACGTATGTAAGTACTTTAAGAATATTACTGTGGGTTTTAAACCATTTTTTAAATTTATTTTTTTGTATTTCTGTATTTTATACTTGCGTATACTTCAACGTACGGTATGCTATAACATTCCATCAATCTGTATCTTCCTTAGTTTATACGATTCATCATGACTTCCAAAAAACCTCTGCAGTATATAATTATAAGTTCCTAATTACAATAAATATAATCACTTTTTAATGGTCACACATCGATCCTCAACATGACTATAAACTACATTTCTTAGTATAATGTTTTACTTATAAACTTATGAAACCTATCTATTATAATTTATATTAGTATTGTAGTTTTATTGTGTGTTGTTTATTTTTTAAACAATTAGACGTGCATAAATACTTAACATTTTTAGCAAATAAGCTACTTCCGTTAACTAATAAAATTACTTAAAATTTAATTTTAAAAATCTGTAAAAAAATAAAATTTATATTGATAATTTTTATTATGTATCTTACTATACATATAGTAAGTATATTATACACATTCTTTGTCAATATAATAATGAACTTTATAACGCTAAGATGTAGACAATTATTTTAAATTTGTGTGTTACTTTCAACTAGTCAAAAATCAATAGTGATGTTTTTTTAATGCAATTAAATTAATTAATTTCGAAGTACGTATACAATAAGAATATTGCTGTGTTTTTATAAACTTATTTATTTGTATTTTCCTCTCGTATACTAGCGTTCTACTCAACGTATCTTAATAATTATATCTCATTAAATAAAAACCTACTTTTGTGTTTCTCGTGTTAACTAGTTGTTTTTTTCTTTCTCAGTAAAGTGTATCTAGTACTAACCAATTCCTGAAGTATTTTAAAATAATCATAATAATTACTCCAACTTTTATTTTTTAAAAATTCACTAAATTATGTAAAAACAATGGAGGATTAGAATTCAAATGCATTTTTTCTATAGATTTAATTGTATACCAAGTTGTACATTATACAAATAGCTTTTATTAATCATTTATTATTCGAATAGTTATGACATAATTGTATACAAACATGATTCGTTTATTACTTAGAATAATGTTTTACTTAAAAATATTAATTAAATTTATTCATAAATAAAAGAATACTCCATTTGCTTTAGTAAAAAAAAAGTTAATATCTTAGAATTATTAAAATTACCATTCTTAATAGGTACCTATTAGCATTGACGAGCTACACAATTATAATAAATTCTAGATTAACACCTGTAACAAAATCTAAATATTTAAAAAAAAAACATATTATTCACTAATTTATTGTAATTAATTGGTACCTACATTTTTAAATAAAGAGAAACATTCAGTTTTTATCACCAATCTCTTGTGTTTTTCATACATTTTATTAATACCTAAAACTTTGCTTGAAAATGTGAAATAAAGAAATAATGTGTATACCTTTTAGGGGAAAGGGTTTATGATATTTTTTTGGTTTGTCAATGTTAATCGGCACTATTATGTTTAACTAATTTGGCTATTTATAAAAAAAGTTATAGAGCATCATAATTTTAAGTTGAAAAATGTGTACATTTTTTGGGTGTTTCTTAATTAATGAAGGGGAAGGGATGAAGTTTTAAAATTATTGTCGGATCAAGTACCTTACAGGTAGGTCTCTTAGATATAGAGTTGCCACACGAAGAAATCGGTTCAGTGGCTTAGAAGGTGCAGATACAATAAATATATTTAAAAAATAAAAACACATCATTGTAAGTACAATATCTTCTTAGCTCGAAACTAAAATGTACATACATTGATTTCAAAATAAATAATATTAACACACGAGATCATTTAAATAAAATTGGTTACGTATTATTCAATATTTCTAATTAAAAATGCCCAACTCTGGCTCAGAAGGTAGGTATTGTTTTTACAATAATGTGTTTTTAATTTTGTATTTTTGTGTTTCGACCAACAATTTCTACTGGAATAATTACTTGATGTAGATACCAAGTCTATTGATCAGAAATCGTTCCTGAACGGTACTTGATTGGGTAAAAAATTTAAAGCGTTCATTTAAATCGAGATAAAAATTAAAATAATTGTTCTTCTTAAAATTACGGTACGCTTATGTTTTTTTTTTAATCCATTTAATTACTTTATAACTTGTACGAAATATTCTTTAGATATAATACTACCCATTTACAGTAAAATCCTAAAAAAATATTATTAACCTTTTTAACTAAAAGGGCCGAAAACTATTTTTTTTTTACTTCGCTTATTTAGGTGTTAAGGTGACCTAAAACTAGGTCTTAAGATCTGCAAATTAGACTGACAGCGTGATTACATGGCAGTTTTTCAAATATCTGCAATCTATTTTCTATTGTAAAGACTAGTATTATATAGTTATATATATAAATACATTTTAACATTTCTAAGGCATTTAAAAAAATGATTTACCTTTTATTTAGCATGATTCCCTACAAAAAATAATTTCACTTGACACATTTAAATATCTTATGTATACATTATAAAATTGTATTTACACTCAAAGATTTTTAATGAACTTCCACTAATCCAACGTTTTTGTTAGTCCTCTGGTCTGATATCTGCTGGATTACCGAGATACTAGGTATTGTATTACATTTATGAAGTTTGTCGCAAATATACAATTAGTATTTAATTTCTTTAAAAATAAGAAATTATTATTGATATTCAATAATGATTTCTTGAGGGGAAAAAAAATAATAAAACGAACCATTGTCTTGGTAAAATTTGATTCGATTAATTGGACGGTACTTTAAAGGGAGAAGCTGTTTCTTTTAAAAACAAAATCACTATACCCATCCAATTTTTGAACTTTGATGAAAACATTTATTTTAAGTTTTCAGTTCTATGATAATGTCCATTTCTATTTCAAAATATTTATGATGGCGGTGGAGTATAAAAATTAGTGGAAAATGAACCAATAAGTCCACTGGTTTGCATTAAATAGGGTCACTATCAATTTCATGGTAGACGGTTAAAGGGCAGAGGCCCTTTAACCTTTTAATTTTAAAATATCCCGTTTGTCAGAACATTTTTCACCAACTCTGCGCCATTCAGGTACACTACAAGCACACCGTGAATTGTGCGTTTATAAATAGGTAAATAACCCATAATATTATAATGCACACACATGGGACGGGTATCAATACACAATATGTAAATCATTTTTCGAAACACTCCGCGGGGACTCATAATGGGCAACATTGCCATTGGATGTTCATATTATTTTATAAACGCTACAAAAGGCATTGTATAGGTATTATAACGATACCGGGGTCGTTTGGTCCGCGGCCTTTGGCGCATGCGCCACGCACGCCGGACTGGCGCGTTTAACCGGGCATATTCGTGCGGACGCCGGCTCCATCGATTAGTACAGCATCCGACCCAGGTACAGGTCGTCATAGCATCGCGGCTTGGTCGCACGAGTCTGCCGATGATCTTCTACTCGCTGCTGTTTCTGCTGGGCGGATGCCTTTGCAACCCGGACGCGAAACGGCTGTACGATGACCTGCTCAGCAACTACAACCGTCTGGTCCGACCCGTCAGCAACAACACCGACACGGTGCTCGTCAAGTTGGGGCTCAGACTGTCTCAACTCATCGAATTGGTACAAACAGTCTCAAGTGATTCGTTTTTTTACATAAGATAATTATATTATAGTTTCGATTTCCCCCCCCCCCCACCCCTCCCACCATTTTGCTCATACAAATGGGAAATCCCTAAAATTTCAGATACCCAGCGCAACTCGATATTTTGTTTTTCACTTGCATTTGATTTACACGGGAAAATTAAATCAGGTCAAGTGCTTACGCGTCGTTTGGGCGGAGGCGCTCCTAGTTTTGAAATCAGTGTCCCCAAAATTCGGGGAATCGACCACGTTGTCGGTGTTTTAGCATCTCTGCATCTTTTTTTAGTCAAATAACCCCTTTAGTTATGTGACCGAAAAATGTAGGTATTTGGCACTGTATTAAGAGGAAGTCTATGCTCTTGGGTGTACCTGCTCTTGAGCCGTTTGAGAAATTTACGGCATTAGCTTATACAATGCCAATACTGAACATGGTCTATACAATGTCATCTCAAATTCTCCCATTCGTCTTCGGTGAGTTGCGATAGAAATCCACGATTCTGAGCCATATGAACCACGTAGTTCTTTTAGTATGACGGCACCCTCTTAGTGTATTCACGTGTAAATTAGCCATATGTCATTTTAAACTCGCCAAGAGTGTCATCGACACAGTGTAGGTTGGATATTCTTTTTCCATCAATTGTACTCACAAAAAAATATATGCGATTTCATTCATTTTTTAATTTTCTATTAGTTGTATAGTATTTATCTGTCTTCGGGACAGAGCACAGGGTCTCCTGTATTGCGAATAGATTTATTTTACAGATATTTGGTACTAAGGCTATAGTTTAAAAGTTATTAGGATTGTTACCTTTTTTTTTTTTATAAATTTAAAGATAAACATACTCCCACTATTCTTTGGACCATTCGCCAGTGTTCCAAATTGTAAGATCATAAATTATATTCTATAACGTATTGATTCCCGTTTCTGTGTTAGCCTTGAACGTTTCAGCTAAGATATCATCTACACCGGCCACATTTTAGCTTTATATCCTGAAGCTTTTTAATTTTTTACAGATTTTTTAAAAATATTTTATATGTGCAAAATATAATTTTATGTTTTCATAATGTGTCATCATTCCTTACTCTAATTTGTTTTTCAACTGCAATATATTTTGTATCGATACCTATGACCTCTCCGTATCTGCCATGTGTTGATCCCATTATGCCTCGAGCCCTCTGTACTGGATTATTCGGATAAATTTACTTTCAAATAAACGCTTTAATGTTATAGCCAGTAAAAGTTAAAGCTTTAAAACTCGTACGGTTTTTTTTTATTTCCAAAATTTAATGGTGAAGAAATGGCCTTTTTCAACTTATACCCCAAAGTACCAACTAGATAACATTTGTGATTTATGGAGTTGCCACGTGAAAGAATTGGTCTAGTGTCAAAAAAGTTACAGAGTATAGGGTGAAGGAAGGTATTTTCGTGGCATAAGCAATTTCGTGATATAGTTTGTTGGTCGTATCGCGTAATTCCCTATAAGAAAGTTGTCTTGAAAATCACACTGATTGTTAAAATAACTGTGTTTTAAGATTCAGTGTGATTTTCAAGACAATTTTCTAATAGGGAATTACGCGATACGATCAACAAACTATATCACGAAATTGCTTATGCCACGAAAATACCTTCCTTCACCCTACAGACACAAAAAAAGCTTGCATCATTTTAAAACCAATAGCATCGTTGATCCGCATCGAAGCTAAAATTAATTGTAAGCGATAGTAAATAATATAATGATGAATTTTTCAAAATATGTTTATTCCAGAACCTCAAGGACCAAATTTTAACGACAAACGTATGGCTAGAACATGTAAGTGATACAAATTGATGTTAATAAAAAAACAATAGAAGCAAAAATTAAAATTAAATAATATTGTGTTCTATTTAGGAATGGGTAGATCACAAATTCCGATGGAATCCCTTACAATATGGCGGTGTCCAAGAGTTGTACGTACCGTCGGAACACATATGGCTACCGGATATTGTTCTCTACAACAAGTAAAGTTTTATATTTTAGTTCTATAAATTGACGAATATTTGTCGTACTAACTTGAGTGCGCGTTTCATGCAGCGGTGATGGCGAATACGTGGTTACTACCATGACCAAAGCTGTGCTTCATTATTCCGGCAAAGTCTTGTGGACACCACCGGCAATCTTTAAGTCTTCGTGCGAAATCGACGTTCGTTACTTTCCGTTCGATCAACAGACGTGCTTCATGAAGTTTGGCTCGTGGACTTACGATGGAAATCAGGTAATACATACAAACGAGAACGTAGTACTTCCCTGTCATTTAGAGGGAAACAAGCAAAACAAGAGTCAAACAACTTTCGCAGGCAATACGTTGAGAGTAGAATAATATCTATTATCATGTGAAAACTTGACTTAAACCACTTTTGCTCTCGACTGCTCAACCCTAGGACCGGAAGGGTTGAAAATATGTATTGACTTTAAAATAATTATTGCAGATAGATTTGCAGCACATGAGCCAAACGCCGGACAGCGCTAAAGTCAACTTGGGAATCGATTTGAGGGCTTATTATCCAAGTGTCGAATGGGACATTCTGGCCGTTCCGGCCGAGAGACACGAGAAATACTACTCTTGTTGCAAAGAACCTTACGTGGATATATTTTTCAATATAACTCTAAGGCGACGCACCCTGTTCTACACTGTCAATCTGATTGTTCCTTGCGTGGGAATTTCCTATCTGTCGGTGTTGGTGTTCTATTTGCCCGCCGACTCCAAAGAGAAGATATCGTTGTGCATCACCATTCTGTTGTCGCAGACCATGTTCTTCTTGTTAATATCTGAAATCATACCATCCACGTCTGTGTCGTTGCCTCTGCTAGGAAAATATCTCCTGTTTACCATGTTGTTGGTTGCCTTATGCGTCGTCGTCACCATTGTCATTATAAACATACATTACAGGTACAGGTCGTTCATTTGTAAGATTCACACTAAAGTGAAATTGATACATTAATATGTTTCTGACAGACAACCGAGCACGCACAAAATGACATCAAGGACGCGAACTATATTTATAAAAATACTTCCAAAACTACTCCTGATACAAGTGCCTGTACAATTACTGGCCGATTCAGATCTGAAACAGAAACAAATGAAGAGCTGCAAGAAGTCAAATCTTAACTTAACCAAGTATTGTTATCGCATAAACGTTTTAACTACTTTAGCTACGCCAATTTGAATCAAAGATACTTTTGGTGTCAGAGTTAGGCATTACTCGAATAAAATATAATCCGAATAGTTATACATTTATACAACATATACATGGTGATGGTCATGGTGTAAAACCACTTTACAGCAATTGTTCTATGCTAAAGCCATTCATAAGTTTACATAATGAAAAACATACAAACTCGTGTTTTAAATTTTGTGCTGTGAAGTGGTTTTACCCCTGGACGCTTCAAATGAAAATAGCAAATCAAATTAAAGTATACGAAATTTCTAGATTTTTAAAACGATATTGTTCTACAGATATAATTCGAATTATATTATGATTAATGTTATTTTTTATTTGAAGAATTTTTTTCTCAATATTGTTTTTGGTGATGTTATCAAAAATGAATATCCAACTCGCTCTATTGGAACTATAATAAAAATATTGAAATAGGACCGCTCTACAAGACGTGAGACCTATTCCCATAGTAATTTTTCACCACTAAAATAACTATGAGAACTCTTAGAAAAAAGTTGTTAAATTGCTGTGTCAGAACGATACAAAAAAAACTAGATTGAACTAAAAATAAGGCTAGTTATGAAGGTGTTCTCTAACCAACATATAAAATACCCCATGCCTACCCTCTCTTCTAAATATTAAGGCGGGTTAAACACCCATAAAACATGAACTCTTGATTATCTCTGTACTTCAGACAAAACTTTTCCTATAAAAGGTTTTTATCGTACCTATGAGTTTAATTCTAGTACAATTCTTCTAACTGCTTAAGTACTAATTGCTAAAGTTAGGTCAGGGAGGTAGCCCGAAATTCACCAACTTTGATAGTAAAATTACCTTTTCGCTCTTTGTTCATATTCTCGTGGCGGAAACATACTTCGAAACTTTGTTTAATGACTTTCAATTAGCAATAATGTTGTATTAGTTTCGATGCAGAGCTGAAAAGGCATTGCTCTTACAACGATGTGTTTTTATATGTGTTTGAACCCACGATATTTTCTGGGCTGCTGAACCGATTTCTTCATGTAACAACTCTGTAAAACACCTGAAAGGTACTTTATTAGGTCAAACATTTTCAAAGTGCACCCCCTCTCCTTCAAAATCGAGAAGAACGACCAAAATATGTTCATACTTTTCAACTTAAAATTACAGCGCTTTATAACTTTTTTAATAACAGTCGAATTGGTTCGAAATTTTCGAGGAATATTATTATTACTGGTACTACATAGTACTACCGAAGAACGTTGATAAACTAAACAAATTGCATAAATCTTTTCCTTAAGTAGGGGTTATATCTCTTTTCTTATCTCGCCTTTTTTGATGATGGTTTAAGATCAATTTTTAGATCTTAAATCTTTAGACCGAAGATTGATCTAGAATGGGGCTAGAATTTTTCTCAAAATTCTGCAGTCAAACTTTTGTTTTTATTAAGGAAAAACCATAAAAAAAAGGGGAAGATTACACTTTGACTATACAGGGGATTAAATCTCAAAGGTTTTAGGTGAGTTTTTGTAAAATTTACTTTTTTCTTCTTTGAGTCTTATGAATTTTATCGCGCTTTTTTTAGCTAGCTCAATCCAAGCAAAAATAACCAATTTACTTTTAAAACAAAAAGGTTCTATCCAAGTCAAAAACTATTTAATTAGGACTAAAAATTTCTATGTGTATAAAAAAAAAAAATACAATTAGGTGGTGTTATCGAATAAAAGGTTTGAGTGTTTTTAAGAGGTTTAGGGTTAATTGATTTATACTATTATTTTGTTTGTTAGATTTTTATAAAAAGTTCTTTGTCGTAAAATATTTTAAATTTAAAGATTTTTTTTTTTGTTGCAAAAAGGTTCTATCTTCAGAACTCTTTGATTCCAAGTTTGGGTTTTATTTATATTATATAATTACTAAGCTTTTAATTAACTATTGTCGTATAAGAAAGTTTAAACATTGTCTTCTAGCTAAATCCTGATTGTCATATAACCTTAATTTCAAAATTATCATGCGTGAGTGAATCAACATTCAACAAGTATTTGAAAATAGTTAAATTTTATTATTAAATACGAATTTCGATACACCAATCCTAATCGTATCCACTCTAATATTAAAACTACATTTTTAAACACATTATTGACATTAGGAACAATGCCTTTTTCAATATTGGTAAATATTGGTCTATTTCTACCATTACAGATTCGCTTCGAAGGATTTATTTGAATCACTTTCAGTTGTAATAATTAATTTAGACTTATAACATCCGCCACTCTTAATATATTATGCTCCATTCCCAATGATTTCTGTGCAATGTTTTTTTTATTTACCTTAAATATATAACATAAACACCCAAAAGTGTTCAGTAGGACGTTAGTTAATGGACCCCAATTAAGTGAGATACCTAATGGTTTGATAATTATTTCACAAATTAGTAGTTATATTTGAACTTTGAAAGTAACTCTCAAGAGACTTACTAGTTGTACTAATATTTTCGCTTTGTAGGTTAAACGCAGCCAGTGTGGGAACTCCTATAAACGTACAACCAACCACACCGGTGTCACCGATCATTAGACCGGCGTCGCCGATCATTAGACCAGCGTCGCCGATCATTAGACCAGAGTCGCCGATCATTAGGCGTCAGTGTACGGGATGTACAGATTGTCAAGGGTCTGCGAAAATGGCTGAAGATGCGGCCAGTCGCCTGGCGGATACCGCGGATACCGCGGTACCGTCGATCGAAGACACCCTTAACCAGACACCGGATTACGTTAAGAAAAAATATCCTCTCGAGTTGATCAAGGCCATACACCATATGACGTTCATCCAGAAACACGTGCAGCGCCAAGACGAGTTTAACACGGTAGGTACTTAACAGAGGTGGTCAAATACTACCCCTGCAAACTAGCTTCTCCCCCGCAACTTAACGCTTCAGTCCCTTCATTCCTACATGTCTATGTTTATTGTACTTTGATATAATAATTTTTCTTGAAATTTCCACCTAGACTCGTTTGTCGTTGGACGATCATTCCGAGTTCATACAAAAATCCACTTAAATGCTCGTTTGTGTTGGTTTATAGGAAGACAAAGATTGGGGATTCGTGGCCATGGTGTTGGATCGATTGTTTTTGTGGCTATTTATACTTGCTTCGATCTTGGGCACGGTGATGATTCTATTTGAGGCGCCGGCACTTTACGACGACACCAAGCCGATCGACAGAGAAATATCGTTCATCGCTAAAAAGCAATTCGCCCCGACAGTAAATTAATTAAAAAATATACAAACGCATAGTATTAATATGAAATTCAATGGCTCGAAGGCAAAACGATTGAAAGTGACACAAACAACCATTTATACCTACAATGTCGTAAACACCAAATACGTATATCATTTAAGTGATTGTTTTTTTTTTTTGTAAGCATTTGTACGATTCTATAAAACAAATCATCTACCGAGTGATCATAATATCAGGTACCAGAAAACCGATATTATACATACTATATTCCATTAAACAAATAATATGTAATTGAATTAATACAATTGTTTTTTGCCTTATCTGAAAATGTGTAAATTGTCGCTGGCAACGTTTGCCTGCTGGCCATTGATTTCTTAGTAGTTGAAGTAATAAAAATAATCATTGCTTTTCGTAGTATATTATAGGCATTAAAAGAAATACGAGTTATATTATTCCAATCTAATTATTATAATAATGTAGGTAACGTTAGTTTAACTAGGTACACTGTGTTCAGTGTACATTGCTTCTAATTATTTTCACTAGAATAATTCACGTTTATATTAATTTCAAAGTCTAGATAGTTTCAAATATCAAAAAAAAAATTTAATATTATTTTTATTCTTATAATTTCGAATTTGTTGAAAAACTAAACTATTATGTTCCATGGTTATTTTCATTAGATCATTATGTACAATTTGTTGAGTTGAAAAAGAAAGAGAATAATTGGCAATTATTATGTTATTTTTTTTACGGTTCTTAATTTGTTTATATTCATATTTTTAATTGTTTTATAAAAATTGTTATTGGTTGTTATTTTATGTATAAACGGTGTATTATATGTCAATTTTAATCGTTATATTTTACTTTCTATCTAGACATTTGTTATTAAACAACGTTATTATGTTTTAAACAATATTATATTCCACCTAATAAAGGGAACCATCTAATATTAGTGTTGTCAATTAATATTCTTAAATACATTTAAGCTGAGTGAAAATAAAATTGGACATTATTAATGTTGATAAAACTTTTTTATAGAATCAGGCATAAAGTTATTTTATGTTATATTTTTTATTTAAAAACAAATAAGTATTTTCTAAACCAACCCGGTAGAAAAATTCTTTTTTCAGACTGATGTACACAATTTGGATGGATTAATTACAGTGCAATATGTCAATTTTTTAATTTTAGTAAATCGAAGATTAGCCCATCCTTAAAACAAGACCCTGGCTTAACCAATTGCTTTAATTTAGTTGAGTGACACCGAACTTCTATTATACCAATAGATTGTTCTACAGATATAAATAGATAGGTTATAGATAGATAAATAGATTGTTCGAGTATTGACATTAGAAGTAGAGTTATCTACAGACTACGTTTAAATGTATTGGTTCTAACTTCTAAGTTTGTCTAATTTTATATTATCACAAAGTAATCATTTTTAAAAATTTTAATGCACTCTTGTAAGCTAAGTATCAACTATATTCATCATAAAATATGTTTAATAAAACGTAACGCACAAAAAAATATAAATGCGCAGATTGTATATACAATTGAATAAAACATAAATGTAATAAAATTAATTATCCACACTGAGACGATGTACAAAAAGTACATAATATTTGATAATAATATGCTATGATAATCATTCGCTATGACTCATTTTTCATGTTCCAAAAAGACATTTGAATATTTCCACTATGGTTAAATCTTCTGTTTACAAAAATCTAACGATACATTTATGATAGTAAAAATGATAGACTTAGGTGAAAAAACAATTGTTTAAGTATTACTATTGGTTATTTTTACAAAATTTGTATTCGCTATAATATTGTAATAATTTGGTACTATCATGCCAGCAAATTCAAACGTTCAAAAAACACAAATAATAATTGAATTTCTTAAAAATATTTTATAAAAAATTGTAATCTAGTTAGACTATTTTTAAAAAAAGTTGTGTAGTGCCGTTATTTTAAGTTGAAAAATATGCAAATTTGTTGGGTGTTTTTGGATTTATAGAGTTGCTACATGAAGAAATCGGTTCAGTGGCTTAAAAGGTATCGTGGGACAGATACAAAAAATATATATTTAAAATATAAAAACACATTATTGTAAAAACAATACATTCTCAGCTACTTATCGAAGCTAAAATAAGAAATATTAACAAAATACACAAAAGGTCATTATCATTACTATCATATTTTATAACAATATCTATCTATATTTGCTTTATTTGCAAATATGTGAACGAGAATCAAAGGAAGGAATATAGAATGGAAATTTACTCAGAAATTCTAGACTATCGATAACATTGTTAAGCAACTTGTCAATAAAAGTTGTGTCGTTTAGTTTACGTCAGTATGCGAGCGTATCGAGATTTAATAAGGACGAAATTGAATGCCTATGCTCAGTTTGCATATAAAATTTAGGGCTTACTATATAAAAAAAAAACAAACTCGATTTTTGAAAAACAAAAATCAGACATTAGATCTTAAAAAATATTAGTAGACAAGTGACGAGCCGGCGTCCAAGCGACTCTTCCTCAGGTAACACCAAATGTCTGTACTTGTGATAATATGGTTGTATTAATTAATAATGATCTTCATCTTTTTAGAACCGACCGACTCAATACTGACAATGTGAACAAGTCCTCTAGCCAGCCGCCACACAAAGCTGACGATAAAGACCGTGATTCTAATTCTCAAGCATACTACCATTTCGTCTTATACTCGCAGTATTTCTGTTACATAATATATGAAGAATTCAATTTAATCGTGCATGGTATGCACGGTATATCTGGCAAGACATCTCAATAGGTCCAAGTTGCGTTTTTGTAAGTTTGTCTTAAGAGGGGAGTGGGCATACATGTATATGTATTAGCCTGTTTCTATGAGACACTTTAGTAAGTTTGCCATCGAGTTGAAGCATATATTTTAGTTTTTTTCTATGAATAACTACTTCAATTTTCAAGCAATCAACTTTGTACAATTGTCATTAGAAAGCTTAAAAAACTTCTCCACTTAACCCCCCTTAATTGTTAATTGTGGTGCTAATAAATAAACCTTCTAAACAAAAAATATCTAAAAATTAATATAGTTTTTAGGGGGTTCGCTTTACCCTAACCTCTCTAAATGAAAAAAAATTAAACAAGCTTTTATTAATTATTATTATCGTATGCTAAATAACAATTATACCGAATAATTAAAAGTATAATGTTTTGTAGAGTGGCTGAGGCAAAGAGTACTGCCCAAAAATCTAACCTAACCTAAACGTAACTGACTAACATCTAGACATTTCTTTCTGCTTTAAAATATTTCGTGCTCTAACTGTTAAGTAAGCAGCACTGGACACTCGATTTTTAAGCAGATTCGTTTCTTTTCTATATTAACACTACACTTATTAATACTTATCAGTACTTAAGACATATAAGAAAATGATCTACTGAACATTTCAAATGAATTATTAGGACATTTTTAATATTTTAAAAATCTGAAGGATTACTTTTATTTACGTAAAACAAAATATCTTACCAACGTTAACTGAATTACCCTGTATTCATGTTTTATGTATAAAATTATAAAAAAATCTACAAGTTTTTAATAAGTGAATACCAACAGCCTACAGTTAACAATATGTACACAATTTTATAAACACTATTGTGTTTGAAATAAAGATTTTTTTTCGGTTTACTTAAAAACGAAAAAAATTTCAGACAAACTTTGAAAACAGGTTTTTGAAAAAAATATACCTGTTATACTAATTTTCAGATCTAAATTTTTAAAACTACAGCTAAAAAAAATCGAGTAAGAAAAATATTTAGGAAGGGCTAATGATACTTTCTTGTTTTTCATTCTTTCTGTACTTTTGGATTGTTGTATTTCTAATCGTGCATTTTGAAGTTAACATTAATTGTATTATTGCAAGTACCTACCTACTCTAAGTACAACTTTCTGCCCCTATCATGGTTGACCTTGCAATTAAGATATTTTTTTATTTAAAATATAAATAAACAGTATCGATTTTACACGTTTTGTATATATTGTTGTCACTAATGTATTCTTATATGGTTAATTTGTTAGGCAACCGAGTAAATATTGATTATATTCGGAAATAAGTCTTTTGTAAATTAGTTTGGTTTCGACTTTTATTACTGAAAAATATTTTATATGTGAAGTATTATGTACACGACGAAAATTCTTACTTTATTTACTTTAAATACCACATTTTAAACACTTTCGATACGACCAGATTCAAGAATAATCGAGTTCTCAAATATATGAACTGACACTGGACCGAGTATGTATGTAGTAAGTCTACATATTTGAAATGTCGAATACATTAGTTACTATAACGAATATTAATTAAATACAAATAATAATAATTGTTTATAAATAAAATTGCTGATATTTTGAAAAAAATTCAAACCACCTCTCACACTTTTTAATTATAAAAAATATATAGTAAAACAATCATAATTCGACTACAAAATTCAGACGACGTAGTTTTTCAAATAATAGTCTCATAAGTTTCAAATAGTTTATCTAAGATGTTGTTTAGATAATATAGTTATAAAACTATACATGCATTAGCCAAACAACTATTCAACTACTCTTTCTAGAAAAGTGTTTTTATATCAATTGTTGATGGTAGTTGCCGGTAATACCTATGCCTAGTATGTAAGTACCATTTTCCATTTTGTATGGACATTTTCGAAAAATCTATAATCAACTTTTTTTTTATTGAGTTAACATCAAAATCCAAATAACACGAATTTTTTAAAAAAATTTTTTTTAAATTTATTTATTTTACGCCTGACGGCAATTTACAAGAAAATACATACATGTTAGTAAATAAAAAAGATAACAATTAAATTATATAAATTACAATTATTAATAATAGTTTACAGTTAAAAATAGTGAGACGCATGCAAATTAAATGAATTTCTTTGAAGGATCAAAGGAATAACGCCTATAAAACCGCTTATAATCATATAAGCTATTATTATAGGTTTTGAGTTCAGATTTGTTTTTTTTTTGTTATGCTATGCTTCTTGTTGCTATGGTTTTTCTTAATATATATTTGTTACCTTAGTAAATATTCGTTATAAAAGCAGATTGTTTATTTAGTTGGCTTTTTGAAACATATAAATTACTTGTAAATTTGTCATATATAGTTTGATATTTCAAGAAAATTATAATTTTTATTTCTCCGATATTTTAGACATGCTATTTGCTTAAAAACACGGTCAAAGTGATAAATCAAACTCTTGAAATAAACTAATTAAAAAGAGATGTATTTTTTAAGCTAGCAGTTAACCTCTACGAAGTGCAGACACAACTTGGATTGATTTGATTGGCAGGTCAGATTTTTGTTTTACTTTATATTTTTTTGTAGTTTAAAATAAGATCCTTTAAAAGTGTAGACAGTCTTGTAGGAAAATAATTTTAAACTCGCATAAGTGGTAGTATATAATTGGATTGAACAAATCCGCACAATTAAATAATAATTAAAGAATCACTGAAATCCGTACACTTATTATAAGGATAGCAATGTTAATACGAATTTTTATATTTGACAAACTAGTATATAATCTAAAATCTAAATGTCCAAGTTTTTGTATGTTCAAGTATGATTTTGAATGAAATTAAACCGATCCCAGACATATTGTAAAACGTCACCGCGGAATCGAAATAGAATATAGTTAAATTGCTATGGTCGCGTTGCTAGGTAATAATTGTTGTTTGATATAAAGTTTTATTAATACTATAGTCTATAATAATAAATTTGTTTACCATTCATTATCAACAACGACACAGACTATATTTTTAATTAATACTTGACGGCGTGTTTTTGTTTAAAACAATATTATTTTAATTATTCACGAGTATAAACTAAGCGTTTTCACAAAGAATTTGACTAAAAAATACCAGAAAAATGTCCTTGGAGAAAAACGTGGTCTATAATTGCATAGTTCCTGAGGACCCTGAGGATACTGTAGGTAGGAAAAAAGCTACATAAATATAGTAATACTATCTAAAATCGCATGCTAAAAAACCGGTCTGTTTTTTGGACAGATTGTACTCAGTTTAAGTAAATAAAACAGTTATTGACTTCCACAAAAACCTGGAAAAAAGGTCGATAGGACCAAAATATGTTTACAGAATTAAATACCATTAAATCCTGGAGTTTTTATTAAATCTTATAATTATATCCGCTGTTGTATTCAGACATCGTCGAAATCTTTTTATTTATTAATAATGAATTATAAATACAAAATTAAATCGCTAAAAAATCTGGCAGTACTTGGTCAGGTATGTTGAAAGACATACCGCCCAAAGTGCGCTTATTAATTTTCTTGATTTATGTTTTCGCCTATAAAAACAAGCGTTGTACACATCGGGTCGTTTATGTTGAAAAACATACAACCGTTGTGGGTACGAAAAAAAAACTAACAAACCGACGTTAAGTACAATTTACTTGAATTGCGAGTCAATGTGGGTTTGAAGCTTTGCCACTCGATGCTATACTTACAACTACGGTAGTGTAGTACCAGAAAAGCGTCAAGTTAGTCAGTAGACATTGCATTGTTCTTATAATCATCGCCATACAGCTTCTTATCAGACCGCGATATCATCCAAATGGGTCAAATGGTATAACCTTTAAAAAATTATATTGTTATCTTTTGTCTGTTTAGTTGTAACAGCTAACAAAATTCTATAACCTCGATATTAAATAAGTGTTAAAACGACTAGTTCGGTAGGTCGTAAAATTTTAATCTATCCAAAAAGAGAAACAATCCTTTGAGCTTGATGGAGTATGGTAATTGATATCTTAATCTAATTCTTATCTTATCTTATCTAATTGGTAATTTAATGTAATTTGTAAATTTTAAACGTTTAATTTTTGACACTTTACAAAAAGTCCAAAAATAAATATATTTAATATGTATTTGTTTTATAAGTTACAATAAAACAAAAAATTACATTTCAGCTGGTCATTGTTGATGAACCACAGTAACCAACATTTAAAAAATCCTAATTTATACCTACTTTACTACAGGCCAGAGTTCCTAACAAATAAATAATTAACGTAGTCGTTATTATATTTTTAGCTTTATTTATGCTGATATTTATTTGTCAAATAATGTTTAATCCATAGATAAATTATATTATCATATCTCTGCCAACACACGAACCCACATTTTTCAATATTACATACTAATTTCTTAATAACGCCCATTTTTAGACGATTTCAATAATAATAAAATTATGATACACAAAATTTAAATTTATCGTGGCAGCCTGTGGACAGTGGTTTCGATGTAGTATTGTAAATATTAAATTTTTTATTTAATAAGTAGAAAAATAGAAAACTACCAGCTATACACTATAGGTATAATTAAATGCCTGACTATCATGGTGGTGGTATCGAAGCATCGATTACCACGGGCGGCGGTATTGAAGTATTTAACTGTTTAAGAAGATGTACACATATAAAATAACATAATAATAACTATTGTGATAATTAATTTTTAATAATTAATATATAATTAAAGATGGGAAAAAAGTTACCAAAATAGTTATTCCAAATGCAAAATTATATTTAAAATCAGGGAGTAAAAACGTGTAAAAAATGTCTGAAATTTCATTCATGTAAAGAAACATTTTTTCAAACCGTTTTCAAAAACGTTTTTACTCCCTGTTTAAAATAGTTAAAATAAACACAAAATGTTTAAGTAAAAATTAAAATTATTTTTTGAAAGTATTTAATTTGGAGTTTACAATTTTATCAAAGATAAAAATATAAAATGTAATTTTGTATTTATAAATTAGGGAAAGGTGGGGGGGGGGGTCGCGGCCACCTTAGCAGAATTAAAATATCTTCGGAACTATTAGTCCAGAAATTTCGCTATTTCTTGAAATCGAACTATCGAGTTTTTTTTTCGGAAAATATTCTAACTAATCAATTAATTGATAATTATTTTTTGGTGAGATAAAGGTTGTTTATGATTTTGAAACATCTCTCGTTAGGTAGTATTATTTTTTGGCAACCCCCCTCCCTCCCTCAGAGCAAAATTGAATGTACGCCACTGAGTTAAAGTACATAATAATATACTCTTATGGTTTTGTCGATAATTAGTATATATTTTAATTAATTAAGTCGATTTCGTATAATAATAATCGTCGGTGTATGGGGATATATGGACGGCCCCTTAGAATAATTAGAGTATCGGCAACACAACATACACCAACGCCATGACACCTTCTGTTATCAAATATTGCTGGCTCGTTTATGACTAAATTCACACTCGTTAATAATTGTGTACAATACATTGTAACTTTGACGATTTTTTTTTGCTTTGGCTTCGGTTAGTTGCAAAAAAAGTTGTATTTTTTTTACGGTGACAATTTTGTTTGTTTAAAAAAAATGTATATATGTTATCTGGACGATAACTTTATAGCCAGTTAACCGATTCATAGCTGGTTAGTTAGGTTTGTATCGCTTGTCTTCGAATACCGGGGTAGTGGCCAAAGGTAAGACATTTTTTGTCAAACATTTTATTACCATAAGTCTGTTAATATATTATGATAACATGCATACAAAGCATATTCAAAGGTATTTTATTAATTTGTGTGATTGTCTCGGTTTAAATTTTAGTGTTAATTATTTAATTATTCCCATAAGGGCATTTTAGTGTATTTATTGTCATAAGGACATTTAATTTATTCAATTGTGTAACTACTGCCACAGGGGCATCTCAAGCTGTATATTTATTTGTTATATAACTTAAAAAAATAACACACAATATTAAAGATGTCCTTAATACATTTATTATAATATCAAAAGAACTAATATTTATAAACTTTTAAAAATCATGTCGGTTTTTTTTTTTATATCTTAATTTAGCCTGCTTTTTAGCTTGAGCTTTAGCGATTAAATCCTTAATGACAAATTTAGGCAAACGTTTACCCCTCCATCTATTTTGGAAATATCGTCATGTTGATAGCATTTAGCTTTTCTTGTACACATTCAACGGGGCTAAACTTTTCTGCTTCTTTAACCTGTGTTAAAAGTTCAGCTCGAAAAGCCTTATCCGTTCTCACTCTCTCATACGTTTACGTAACTTCCTTAATTTGTGTTTTTTCATTTTTTTAAGTCGAATGACAATCAGCCTAGCTGCTTGAATTTCATTTGCATTTTTACTGAAGGGATCAGCAATTGGAAGTGGTTTTGGAGGACACGGGATTCCCAAAGGAATACGAGGAATATGTTTTTCTATAATTTGTTTTAATGATAGTGTAGGCACATAATCGGAAAATTCGGTAGAAAAAATCAATCGAATTGTAAGATTTGCAAAGCTTCGTATTTACATTTTTTATTTTTTATTTTACTTTTACAATAGGAAATTAACATTGTGGCACGAGTCCTGACATACAGTATATATATATACAATATTTACAAAGTACTTGCTTGTTTTTTCAAGCGTCGTGCACAGGCATATATTGTCAACTTTTTTTGTGTTCGACTCAAATAGCATATCGGTTTATATCGGCCGTTGTATTCGGTTACCGGAGGACACTTGGCTAGTTGAAGTAAAATAAATTCGAAAGTTTCTTGTATATATATTGGAGACGTGCTAGTGCTCGGGACGGGATCCTAAAACTTTTTGAACACCCAGTATAGTATATTTTCAAGTGCCTCGTTTGATCACGGACAATTTTGCAATAAATGTTTTTTATTAGTTTGAAAATACTACTATAAATCACATTTTTTTTCATCATGTTAAAAGTGATAATATAATGACTTACGTTGTGAACAAGATTTTTGTTTCGTTATTTAAACACCGCTCATCGAACATTTATCATAGAGTACTGTTGAAAGACAAAAGAATCATTTGCATTATATTGAGTTTTTTGAGATACTTTACACAGTAAAAATGTACTTGAAGTTAAATTGTTTGCTATATTTAGTATGCTTTATCCAATTATCAACATCTGGTCCTAAGCGTTCAAGGATAGTAAAACCTGACGGAGAACTGCTCAATGTAAATGTAGAATTAACAGATGATATAAGTGATCTGGTAATTATAATTTTTTTCTGTTTTGTCTTTAAATGGATTAGTTTACAAAAATTAAAGCTGAACATAAAACGTAGTTTTTTAATTTTTATAAGATTAAAATGTTATTGATTGTAAATAAATATGCATGATAAAAATTAACTTTACAATGATAACGCTATAAATTATTTGGGATAAGAAAAATAATCATTAGCGCTTTGCACTAAACTAGTTAAAATTTTAGAAAACTACGTTATAGATTTCCATCATTTTTTTGTCGTTTATATTTATTTGCTATCGGTTATCTATAGATTTAAGTCATATGAACTACAGATTTTCCATCAGTGTTCCCTCAATCGGAACCTATATTTATCTAACAAAGATTTTTGAAATTTCGTTTAAACAAATATGTATTAACGGCGTATAATATGAAGTTCGACAGAATCGGGAGTTTATATTCTTATTTATAATTTATCTAAATTAGATGGTCTTTGGGAATTTCTTTGTTTTGCTGATGACAAGATTATACTAGCCAAGTCTCATAATTTACCCTCCCTTCGTAAAATTACTACTTATACCTAAATTATTTAAAAAAATTGGTTAAAAAATAATATTATGTTAGAATTTTTTTAAACACCGATATCATGTAAATATCATGAATTAATTATAAGAACTCCTGTAAACTTGTAACCACGCCGTCCCCACTATGCCCTGACTTTACTGTACTACCTTTTTGAATATGCATTTATTTGCTAAGTGGGTAAAAAAATGTAATTTTGTGTTATAAGTTTTCTTGGTTATACACAGTCGATACGGAATATAATATATTTAAAAAAAACCGTGTATAACTTAACATTAAAGGTACACATGATCGTTTTCTATATATTTTACACGGCATTTATAAGAAGTTTAATATATTGTCTTTTATCGATAATCGAATGGTATAGTAGTTGGAAAAAATACATTACACATCTGTGTAAACAAATCCAAAAAAAGTATAGCTGATTCGACAACACTACCAATTTATGATTATTACTAGTATAACGAGTTCTCACACAAACACAAAAAAAAAACTAAAAAAATTCTTTATAAATTTAAATTTGATCCGACCATTTTTCCCCAAGGTACCAAATAGATAAAACATGTGTTTTTTAGAGTTAAACTAAAATAGTAACGTACATATGTTATTAACTTTTTAAATTAAGAATATTTTACCTAACATTTTGACTGGTTGATAACCAGTTTTGAACAACTATTCTTAAATAAGAGTTTAAAAGTTAGGACGGGAGGGGAAGTGTGGTGATAAAAATAATTCTACACTCCGCCTTTTATCCTGCTAATTTTAAGCCTATAAGTCTTAAAATTGAGCCTAATAAATAAACAATTTTTATAATGTCAAGCCTTGCAACCCGCAAAGCAAGGGGGTGAAGAGTTATTGAAATTTAGACTTGACCCGACCGTTTTTCTCCAAGATATCATAACAAATTGAAAGTTAAAAAACCGTCAAATTTGTTAAATTTTTATTTTGAGCTGAAGGAGTTAAATTTTTCTACTCTTGCTCCACCAAAGTACCAATCGCATAAAATTTCGGATATATAGATGAGGTACTCAAATAAATCAGTCCAAAAGAAAAAAGTTACCGTGTTTACAGAACCAATAAAAAACAAACATTGTAAAATCAAGGAATCGAAGCCAAAACTTTGTTGGCTTAAGTAGAAATTTGAAATTTAATACATAATATGTATAAATAAATATAAGACCTGCACACTTACAGTTATTTCTATTGACCACAATCAAACTTTTATACTTACGTCTTACTTGACTTTTATTTTAACCTAACCTTATAAAACGTGTTTTTTAATTTGTTACTACAATACACTGGGGGATACTTCTTTGATATCATAAATATGTATACCATCGTCAATCATTACTAGGTAATGTACACTTAAGTAAGAAAATTAGAAAAATTAAAAAATAATTAATTTTAGCTACAGAATTTATCTTACTGTAACTAGAGAATACACATTCTACTCATGAAATGATTGTAAATATAATAATTTTAAGTTAAGTGTAAATAAAATGTTTGTATGCTTTGTTTATAACACAGGTATTCTACCATGCTAAGCAAGTGCCAGAAATCGAAAAAAATTGTAATAATCTGATTAAAATGGTTTAATTAACTGGTTTAATAAGTTTTTACAAAAAAAAAAATTAGGTCATGGCACTTTTGTTTAGCAGGGCAGTACTCATAGTTAATATAATTTGATTATCACTCAGTTTCAATGTATCACTTTTGTATTTATGTATCTTATATCTAATATCTTTATTCGTCATATTATTTTAGGATTTAGAAGCTGTGTATCAAGATATAACACAACATCAGGATATCTTAATTACCCAACCGTTATTGAAGGCTTATTTATTAAGCATTGACAAAATGTATTTAGAACACAGAGCTGATATAATGGTACTGTTTTACGGAGGTAAATATGTTAAAATGTTGTATATTCATATTTAAACTAATTTAAATTAATTCTATATGAATTTTTAACTACACTTAAATTTGTATAATTACTGATAAGGCAAATAACCTGCGTTATTTATACATAATTTTATTAAATCTTGTCTTCGACTTTTGAAACGCATCAGTACCAACACATTGAGTACACACACGAAACAGTAAAATTATACCGTGTCACACAAAAGGTCCAGACAATCGAAAAAGAAGCCCAACAACAAATCAGTTTCGAGAAAACGACTAAAGCCAACATCGAAAGGAAATTAACAACCATACATACAAATTATGAAGAACAAACCAACAAAAAGATAGAATAAAAGTTATTCAACAACAGCAGTATAGTCTTCCAACATTAAAAGCAATAATTTAGTCTTCCATTGCCAGTTAAAAATTAGAAGTAATATCGTCAATAAGCAATGAAGTATCCACAGTAAATACAAACCGAAACATTATCAATGACAATATTGATATTCCTATTCCGAAATTTTATGGAAACATCCGTGACATAAACTCTAAAGAATTCTTAAACAGCCTAGGCGAATACTTCACGTGCAAACAGAAAGAAAAAAGCAGTCAACTGAGTACATTATGATTCGACACAGCATCACAAGTTAAGTTAGGAGTTCAAAGATCGAACAGAATAATCCCAAAGTCGAGTTCATACCGATGAACAACATAAACGTGACAACGCAGTGGGAGAGAAATTAACTAAAGTCAAAAAACAAATACTCTACTCCATCACTACCATTGGCACAACAAATATTTCTTGTCCTTGATCATTTAAATGAAGCCAGCATTTTGGGAGCCATATCGATAATGAACAAAGAAGCGTTCACAAAACACATCCAGGTCCACCTCCGATTAATCGGACTAAACGCTGTCATTTATTAATTTGTTTTTCCTCAAAACTACATCCCTTTTACCCCTTACAGATAGGAAAGGTAAACAAATAAAGTACTAAAACTGATACGTTACAAAAATTAAAAACATGGATTTTTTTTAATACAATCTTAAGATTAATCCTAATATCAATGTTGTAAAAATTAATGACATTTTTATTTTCAAATTACAGCTAACGGTACAATGACTTTAGACCAATTCAAAGCCGGGATTCGTGCTACTGCTGATCTCCAACCAATCATTTTTAGCTACGCTGCATACAATAATAAAGCTTATAAAGAAAATGACAGTTTAAATAAAAGAACTTTTTAAAAACGATAAAACAAAAAACAAATTAAAATATAATAGGTTTATCATGTATAATTGTGGTAGCTAACATAAACTCAATAAATAAATAACAATAATAAACTAAATTCAAAAATATTGTTTGGCTCCTATATATCGTTAAGTTGAAATATTGGCAAACTGGATAATAATTGACCCGTATCCCACATTAGAGGTATAATATTTGATGATCAAAATTAAGTATTCTTCCTAAAAATCCTGAATTTAACATCATCATCAGTTTCTAAAGGTCTTGTCGTTGTATTCATTCATGTCTGTCACTTGCTGTCTTTTTGAGCTGTTGATAAGAGATAAAACCCATCCGATGAAAGATTTCTTTTATTATTTATATTCTCTTCCGTGATGATGGCAATGAACTGATTGTGCCTTAGTAGATGTCCAGTAAACCCTATTTTTCATTTCACTACATAATGTTAATTAAACACTTAAATGATGAGGTTTCTAACTGCGTTAATTAGTTTTTCATCTTATCTTAAACGTTGTAAACATCCAGTAAAAATGAACAGTTTTACAATATATTTTTCAAAATAAAGCTTAACAGATTCATCATTATTTTTAGAGAATACGATTAGGTTAGGTTATTAGCTAACTACTGGCTAACTATTATGTTGTGTATTAAATTTATTTAAAATCTAAAAAACTATTATATCGATTTTAGTGAGAATGATATAGTCTAAAATATTGTAGTTATTAATATTACACCTTAACTTAATACTATGCAACGAAGCTATAACAAAAAAAAAGCAAATAACTAGGATAATAATAACTAGCATAGTTTAAACCAAAACAATATAACTCAGTACATAGCTATTACTGAAACTTAAAAACCTAAAAAAGATATTTTATGAAATGGGCATAATTGGACAAAAGAAGAAAAGTCAACCGCATCACTTCCAAACCGGTTAGGTCTCACCACCAGTGGCGTAGTTATGGAGGGGGGGATGATGGGGATAGATCCCCCTCAGAGCCTTTTTATTATGTATTTTTATTATTTATGATACAAGTAAAATAAAAACATAATACCTTTAACCTACTAAGTTTATCTTAGTTTTCACATTGTACCTATCATACGCAATAGGCCACTCGGAAAACCAGTTTTTTTAAAATATTTAATTGTGATGATAAGTGTTAACCACTGACTACCTATAACCAGGAACCATGTGTACCCATACCATAATTTTATATATTCTGTGCCCATACTACCCACGTGTAGAGTGAAAAAACTGATACCAAAATAATACAATTTTATTTTATTAACACCATGAAGTAAAAACAAAAAATGCTTTATGCATTGTGATTAAATAATTGTCAATACATTTTAATAATAATTAACTATTATTTCTTTTAAAACAGGATAGATTGAATGGATTAGCTATGCTGGCAGTTCATAAAAATATAGATGAGCTAGCCAAAAAACCTAGAAAAATAGATTTAATTTTATAAATAAATTATGACCCCTCTAATAAAGTTAATTTGTTTCAAATGTTTAATGTATTTTATATTATAAAATATTTAACTGTGTACAGAAGTATATTAAAAAAAATGTGAACTTGAATAAGGGGTCGACACCCACTTTACGTTTACTCAAAAATTCATCTATCCCACGCCCCTAGAACAAAATCATAAGTACGCCACTGCTCACCACTTTTACTTTTACAAGCCATAACTATGGTATAGGGTTGGTCTGTAATAATTTGTTGCGGTTGTTACCGATGTATCATAATAATTAACAATATAATGAAAACAGTCAATAACAACAGTAAATAAAAACTCAAAACAATTCTGATAAGTGATACAATTTAATTTTTTTTCTAATAGAATTTTTTATTTAATAGGAAACAGGTACTCAAGTAACAATAATAAGTACTGTGGTTAATGCGTATTCGATTTATAATTACTTTATGTTGTACCCATTAAACAAGTCCTCGGTAGTATAGTGGTAAGTATCCCCGCCTGTCACGCGGGAGACCGGGGTTCGATTCCCCGCCGGGGAGGAAACTTTTTGGTTTTTTTTTTTGTAAGTTAAATGTAGCCGTTTATCTGTTTTTCGTTAAAATACGGTGTTAAAGATAAAATTATGTATTGAAAAGAATTATATTTGTATATAAGTTTTGGGCAAGAGGAAAGGTTGAGTGTAGTTTTATTTTTATTTGTGCGCACGTCCCAACCACACTTCCCAGTTCCCCTCCCATCCTAACATTTAAACTCTTATAACTTTAAAAATAGGTATCCAAAACTGGTTATCGACCGGTCAACATTTTCAGTACATTATTCTCAATTTAAAAGTTAATGAAATGTATGCGTTACCATTTAAGATTTAAAAGTTGCTATCAAAAAAACTAAGTTAGGGGGGGGGAGGGGGTAAAAACAAAAGAAAATTTAATAAGGTGAGATCACATTGTAAATTTCTTATTAAACCCGATTGATTGGTTAACGATAAATTGATCACCCTGTATACACACGTGCAGTTGCAAGTACACTTGTATATATAGACGTATATATATGACTGACACGTGTAATAGGGACCTCTAAATTAGTTGTCTGCAAATTTAAATAACCACATTTTTAAGGTACCTATATTTAGCTCTTAAAGGGAAAGCATTTGTCTGTATTTGTACTGCTACTGTAGTGTTAATTAATTTGACAAAAATTAATGTTAAAATAAGTATGGTTCTGATTCAAGTTATTATAAAACTGACTTTTATCGAGCATTAAGACCATTTTTGTGATTGATTTAATTAAAAGTCTTATATCAGAATAATAACCTTTACTCATAGGGAAAATGATGAACATAAAAATGTACATTATCTTCTGTTTAACATATTATTTTCCAATGGTAAATTCTATAACTCCACAGGTAATTATAACGCTTTTAACAACTTGTGCATATTTATAAATTATTATTATTAAAAATAAGTATTTTTTTTTTAAATATTAGTAAATAATATTCGACACCTTCCTGTTTTATTTAATTATTATAATATTATTTTAACGCCAAAAACTATCAAAATTTAGGATCGACCAGTCAAAATATTCAGAAAAACCTACAAGTTCGAAGCCTTATAGCGCAAAATTCTTCGAACAATTTGTATTTAATTCCTCAAATAATAAAAATTAAATTCAACAACTTAGCATTCTGTGCTAGTTTGACATTAAAGATGCGGATTTGAACTTTTCCTCAAAAAATGTACTGCTACGTTTACTAAATTGTCTAGATAAACTGATTTAAATTTGGTTGTAATTGGCTTTCATTTTTATTTTTCTCACCATCAATTGAGCCTATACTGAAATTTTCAAAGTTTATGTGGCTGGCTGAACTTGATGTGCGCAAGATTTTATTGTTGCCAGTATTTACGATCGATTTTACCTTGGCCATGATCATATACAAAGATCAAATTCTCGTGTTGCTCGAAAACATAAATTATTAACTATTAAATGCATAAAAAAATATTTTGAATCATTTATTGCATTACTCTATTTTAAGGAAATAGAGAATCTATGGAAGAGGATAAAACCTGAAGACAGTGAATATATTGTCTTCAATGACTTAGTTATGTATTATTATCCTGATATTATGAATCTCTATGAAGTTATTATAGATCACGGAATACGACATGAAATTGGTGCAGGTAATAGTAATGCAATTTGTTTGGTACTTAATAGTTTATAACTTTAAAAGTAAATAATATGTAAATTATTAAAGTAATGAATCTAATGAAGGAAAATGTGAATTATGTAAATGATATAACTGTATGCATTACAATGGATATAATAATATATTGTACTCATAAACTCTAAAGGTTTTACTATAAAATAATTAAATATTTTAAATATTTTATTATGTAACATTATACTTCTTATGGGTAGTTATTATTTTGTTTTATGATCATGTTTTTTAAAAAATATGTTATGGTTTCTAGGTGAATTTGAGTTCAGAATGTCTTATGAGCAATTTGAGAATGCTGCGTCCAAAGGCCTCATACCAAGATGGTCTAAACGGGTAAAGATATAATTATTATCTTATTTCTGATAATTTAATTGTGTGCAAACAACAGTTATTACTAGAGCAGTATTCGAATAAACGGGTAGAATATTCTTTGGTTTAAAATATGCTCTATTGATTAAAAACGAACGTTAAGTACTGTTAAGACTTTGCATGCTAAATTTAAAATCGAGATGTTGTTAGGCATTCTTATATGATTACCTTCTTATATGTCATTTAGTTTTTAAGTTTATACTAAACTTAACCGGGCATTTAAATTAAAATTCTAGTGAAGGTGGTAAAACATCAGTTTCAAAGTGTCGTTTTTCATTTATTTCAAGTAAATAAAGAATAAAATGTATACACAAACACTAATAAGATAAACTAATACATATTCTTGTTTTTCATGCAAGATTTATATATTGATAAAATCAAAAAGTATGTAAGAATTTTACTAAGCTAATAAGTAATATCCAATACTGTGTTTTTGAGCCCCTGATTTATTGCCATGTGTGACGTTACGCGTGATCTAGACAAGCTGAACGGGTTATACTACTAATTACAACTGATAATGAAAAATGTACTTAGCTGCTTAAAATTCACATAATGTTTGAACCATATTTCGAATGAATCATAACAGTAATTTTTTATTATTAATGAAATTAAATTAAATATAGCTTAATTAAATTAAAAACATAGGATCAAAACGTTATTAAATTAATAAATGTTACTGCTTAAGTTTGATTTATATTTTTTTCTATAAGTTTTGTATACAATATATGTTTAGGTGATGTATACGGAATTTAAGCAAATGATTCCAAATGGGGAAGACAGAAACTATATTAATCTTGACGAAATGATTAAATACTATGTACCAAGATATTTGCGTACTGTAATTGAACTCGAAAAAGTTATGGAAACTTACGGAGTCAAGAATAGTAAATATGATTTTTAATAACCATAAAATTCACTTCCCCCTTCCCATCCTAACTTTTAAACTTGTATGACTAAAAATGGTTATCCAAAATTGGCTATCAATGTTTAGTACATTATTCATAATTTAAAAAGGTGATGAAATGTGTGCGTTACCATTTAAGTTCTAAAAGTTGCTATCAGACAATCTAAATGTATAGAGGGGGAACAACAAACCCAAAATTTGAAAAATCATATCACATTGTATAAACATATGACTAAAAAAAAATACATTTCTTATTAAACCCCAAGAGATATTGAGTGGTTCACGATAAAATGATCACTCTGTATTAGCATAGATTTTCAAATGTTTGCATTTAGTTATAGCGGCCATAATATTCTGATTACATAATATTTACAAATATTTAGCTTTATTATTTACACAGGTAATTCGTCTGTGTATATTATTATTATATCACACAGCCTGAAACGGTGGCCAAACTTTATTTTTAAATGCGTAGTCGGTAGTTAGGTTAGGTTTATAGTGTCTGTGCTTGTAACAAAAGCATAGTTTTATTAATTTTGTTTACTTTGTGGATAGAAATTAAGTACTTCATTTATACCCCACACATAGTTTACGTTTTTATTTGCTACATATTTTATCGAATATACTTTTATATTTATCTTTAAACACTAGATTCGACGATACCCATAATAGTCTCAAAATTAAGTTAATAAAAAATTTCATTACAAAATACTAATTACAAAAATGCACACAAGTGCGTTATAACTTACTCGCTTTAATCACACGAATCCAGTGACACTTAAAAATAAAAAAATACCTGTACCATCACAATTATCTGTGGAGCTAATATTTTATCATATAAAAAATTGCCGAGTATAATTGTAGATTTCTCGTTTAAAGATTTCTACCAATTATCATTTTATACTTAGCTGCTTTGGCCAAGTTTTAAAACAATACAACGTTTTAATATTTATTTTATATTTTGTTTAGTAATCTGTACATTTCATGTTGGTGATTTTCAGATGATAACCAATATCATTTATATTTCTATAACTTTAGAATAGCTATGTGCATTGGTGATCTTCCAAACCCTAGTTTTGAAAATGGGTATGCGTAACACGTTTTCGATAAGGTTCTATTAAAAAAAAAAAGCTAAATTGATAATCAAAATGAATTAATTGAATGAAGAATAACAAATTATTTAATCTCTATTATAGTGTAAAACAATATAATAATAATTATAATGTGCTGTTTAATTCTTAATTATTCACTGTCATTTAACTCAATAAAAATATATTGAAACAATATTTGTTATTGTTTTATTTTATTTTATAACACTTATGATTGGTATCAAGACGATAATCTACTCTTCTGAGAATAGTGGATCTATCTTTGTATTTGCTAAAAAATCGTTTAATGTTCTTGTACACGCTTTATTACTTAGGCGTTTATGCATATATAAAATAGTACGTTATAGTTATTTTAAGCCAACATATTTTCATAATAAAAAACTTTTACAAAAAATGTGTTTTTGTTTAGTTTTGTTAATGTTAAATTCAGTTTAGCTAATGATAGTTATTACGAACACAAAAGTATAAAATACGAGACAATAAAGAGTAAACCAAAAACGGGATGGGTGTGAGTTAAATTCGATTTGAAATTTTATTTGTATAGACAAATTGAATAACTTTTTCGGTTTCTTCGTGGTGGGAGTTCACAATGCTTTTGACAAGTGGTCGCTAATGCCTAATTTATCTTGCGTCTCATTTAGATTCATTTAGGAAATTCCTTTGCTTTACTTATTAACATATAGGTGTAACACAGCTGGGATTGAAAAGTTACCAACCAAGCCAAATTATATATTATTTCTAATAACTATTATTAGCTAAACTGAATTTGAACTTGTAAAAATAATAGAGGTCAATAGCAAATATTTTAAGCTAATTTTTTTTAACTATATAAAATAAACACAGCCGCATCAAAGTATCAAAATATTATTCATTTTAAACAATATTTTTTGTAGCTTAAATGATTATTGTACATCGTAGCTTACGATGGTATGTTTGTTTCCTTTGTGAAGTAAGCTCGTAAAAAAACACAAATATTTCTTATGTTTTATTTTGTAGTGCAAAGATATTCTGTAATGTAAATATATAGAATATGACGTAGTTATAACCTTATTATAATAATATATATCAGATTGTTCCACAATGATTTTACAAACTTTTTTATTAAATTGACTACAAACGTGTATTTGTATATTAGAAACATAGGTACAGACTACAAACACTAAAAAAACATGTTATTATGTTTTTTTAAGATAAACACTGCACAAAAAGCGTCATTGTAGTTTCAGGTTTTTTAATATTCAACAAAACCACAATTTCGGTGATCGTTTTATATGAATTCCACACTTGTCGAGTGTACTTAATCAAAACTATGGGCCAAACTGTTATTCTCTTTTCGTTGTCACTTTACTTCAGCGTTCCATTACTATGTGCAAACCGCGTGGACACGATGAACGAGCTCTTTAAGTATCCCATTTGGGAAGGAATGCCAGAATCGAATGACAACTATTTGCAGGTCGTGGAACGATGGATGGAAACTGAAGAGCATTTCTACGTGAACGATTTAACTGCAGCTATCCTCAAGGGACAGGCTGTAACCAATGAAAACGCAGGGTACAAAACACGACTGGCTCATCAGTTTTTGAACTGTAAGTATACTTTAGTGGTGAGATATTGTTACAGCCTTGTAGCCGAGCTGGGTGTCCAGTGTCGGAGAAAAGATTTTCACCTTTCAGAATCAAATACTTGTTTAAATAGGGTGGTGGGTACAATCAAAGAGTGCGATCAAATAGCGGTGCGTACGCACGGTGCCCTCTCGTTTTTTTACCAGTTACACCCAACCACCGAGTTGAACAAAGACGTATCCGACATTTTCCAAGACCTTTTGGCCTATTCCGAAACGAAAATTCACGACGAAAATAGTTTTATCATAAGCAAGAAAACCATAGATCTCGAGTTAAAGGCTATCGACGAAGACATTTCCGATATTCTACACCGTCTTTGGTCGTTCTACAACGGTTTTTGCTATCCGATCCCGTCTGAAGACAGAGGGTCTGACATTCCTTATGCCAAGCAACGTGTTCGTGATATTTTGACCTATAGATCTAAGGAAATGGACTATTTCACGACAAGGGTAATGAGTTGGGTGGGTGATATAAAAAACAAGTTTCTAGAAACGTACGATAACGACTCCGGCTTTTGTTTCGAACCGATATCAAACACTACTCGTATGAGAACCAACGATTCGGAGACGGTAAGACGAGTAAAGCGGATGAACCGTCTTCTGGAAAACCCGGGATGGATCAAGTTAAATTTCGAAATTAAAATTCACCGACACGGTAAGAAATCGGTGTTCGAATTGCTCGAGCCGACAACCAAAAGTAATAATACAGTTACCAATAAAAACGTCGATATAAAAATTCAAATGGCCCATCTATTCTTGAGCTGTAAGTATACCAGGGTGCTGAAGGCGTGTTTTGATCATGTCGTACTATTATGGAATCAGTATATTAAGCAAAAGATAGACGATTTTGTCGTGAAAAGTCAACCGTTGCTATCACTCATGAGGGATGCACTATCGTTCTTTTACGAATTAACCCCGGAAATGAAATACGAAAAGGAAGTTTTTAACATTATAGAAAGTTATAGAACAGTCTTTGTCGTCGGAAATGTCACTCTGGATGTCGAGAAAGATATGTCGGAATTATTGCAACGCTTGCGTGCGTTCTTCAATCAATTTTGTTGGCCGGAATATTTGTTTGACATGAATTCCGTTTTAGAATCAAGTCTAGAGCACATGGATACAGAATTATTATTGGAAGGCATAATTAACCATACCATAGAAACAGCCTGTTCAGAATTTGGGTTTGGGCAAAAATCGGCGTCGAGTTATAAGGGTAAGTCCAAAATTCAGACGACACGGAATATGTTAAAATAAGTGATAAACGACAAAAATCACAAAAATTACACACAATTTTTATAGGTAATCAAGTATTGTTTCCAAATAAATAATAACCAACTATTACACTGAATTTTAAAGAAAAATGTGTACTTTCTTTTGGATTATATCCTGTTTAAAAAATTAACTTTCTCAGACAAAATATAGGGTAATATGTAGTTTTGTGCAATAAAATTAGAAAACATTGTTTCCTGTTCATAAAAAGGGGGATAAAACAGAATACAAACATTTTAGGCCTATTTATTTGTAAGGAACTCTGGCCTGTAGTAAAGTAGCTATAAAGTAGGATTTTTTAAATGTTGGTTACTGTGGTTCAACAATGTACAGCTGATATGTATTTTTTTTGTTTTATTGAACTTATAAAACAAATAAATATTAAATATATGTATTCTTTAACCTTTTTGTAAAATAAAAAAAATTAAACGATTAATAACATGTGTTATTTAGTTTTGCTTTTGCTTTCGGTGTCAAGTGTCCCCGTTACACTTTGATATGTATTTTTTTGTGTTTAAACTTATACTGTTTTACTATTTTTTTTTATAAAAATTATTTTCTTAAAATATTACAATTTTTTTTTATAAATAAAAAATCACAATTTATATTTAACATTTTATTAGAAAGATATTATGAAAGCTTTTTCGAAATTTTATATTTTTTATAATTATGATATATTATACAGGTTATAGTTTTCCTATTACAAAACATTTTATTTATGGTATTGTGTAGTGTTATAAAATTATAAGTTATTTGGCTATTTTCCATCATGTTGTTACAATTCAATTTTTTCCAAAATAGAATTTCCCGTAACAAAACAAAACCGAACCCTATAAACAGTCCTCTTGGTATATTAAAGTATTGTAAACAATATTAAAAGTAAGTTCGTTTAAAAATACATTATGATGGAGGAGGCGGGAATGCAACTATGGTCACAGGTTTACAGGAATTTTTAAATCTGAAAATGATAAAATCACTTTCGAATTAACGCTTTGATGCAAATCAGTAGTTAGTATTTTCAAGCCACTATAGTCCAAACCAAGCACAGTGTAAACCAGCAAAGTAAGGAAGTATTAAATCGAGGTGCTGTATTTACAAATAACTACGTTAATTATTTATTTGTTAGGAACTCTGGCCTGTAGTAAAGTAGGTATAAATTAGGATTTTTTAAATGTTGGTTACTGTGGTTCAAAAATGACTAGCTGAAATGTAATTTTTTTGTTTTATTGTAACTTATAAAACAAATACATATTAAATATATTTATTTTTGGACTTTTTGTAAAATATCAAAAATTAAACGTTTAAAATTTACAAATTACATTAAATTAAATTAAGATTACAAATTTCGTTTCGATCATATGCTCTGCATGATTATAATCGCCAATCCGATAGTAACAGTTCTATAAATATTTGATAATTAAAATAAATTTACAAATTTATACCTCTCTTATCTCTTATCGACCTCAATCGAAATTATTGTTGATGAAAACAAAACCGTAAACTTTCTAACTGAATTTTTAAATTCACTGGATATAGTTTTTCATGACAAGTTTTTCGTTATTAACACTTTTTTCGGTTATGTACCAGAGCTAAGACACGAAAATGTCAATATAATAATATGTTTTTTTTCCAATACAGTCGCAGACATCGGCCCTGACTGCCACTGAACCGGCGAAGTGCTCACCGGTGACACACCACCAAAATCTGGGGATTATTCAGGATGGTAAGGGGGATATGTATTATCTAATACCTAGCGAAACCACAGACAATAATCAGAGGATATGTAGAATTAAAAATTGAGGCTAATTATCGTATACGACGAGAGCAATTATGTTTTCAAATAGAAAAACTACATAATTGCAATTATTTTGGGACTAAACTAGCGTAGGGCATTGAACGAATCACCCGGTATACATTCGTATTAAAAAAAATACTAATATTGGTTTTTTCAATTACAGGCAGCGGAAATGTTGTACAACGTGGTGGTTGTTATAACCAAATTCACAACCATTACAATATATTGTAAGTTTCATATTTTTAAAAAAACTTTTGGCACCGAAATGCCACAAAACCTGTTGGTTCGTAACAACAACTACAGTAAAACTTTATGTCCTAAACACACTGTACGACTATGTATGAAAAATAACTCGACGAAATAGTAT